TTAATAATAATAAGATATAAGTATTAGTAATAATAAGATAAATTATTATATTATAAGATTATAAAAGATTCAGGGAACTATTTAAGTAACCTGAAAATCTTAAATTACTAGAATATAAGATACATGACTATATTATTCTAATTAAAGATAGAAAATAAGTAGTATATAAAAAAATCTATCTAATATTAGAAAAAGAATCACAGATACTACAAGTATATATTAAAAAATAACTAGTAAAAGAAATAATTTAACTATTAAAATTACTAGTAGGATATAATGTCTTATTTATATTAAAAAAAAATAGAAGCTTATAACTATATATAAATTATAAATTACTTAACTAAGTTATAATTAAAAATAAATATATATTATTATTAATTATAGAAATACAAGATAAGCTTAAGGGAGCTAAGATCTTTATAAAACTTAATATTACTAATATATATAATAAGCTATATATTACTAAAGGAGATAAATAAAAAATAATATTCAAGTTAAAATATAGCTATTATAAATATTTAATTATATTATTTAGTCTTACTAATATACTAGTATTATTTTAGAGATTTATTAATAAAGTACTAGAAGAACTACTAGATATATTTATTATTATATATCTTAATAATATTTTAATCTTTTTAAAAAATCTTGAAGAGCACAAGATATATATTAAATAAGTATTATAAAAGCTATAAATTACCAAGCTATAATATAAATTAAAGAAATATAAATTTTATATTATAAAAACAGACTTTCTAAGATACTAGATATTTATAAAAAGAATTTATACTAATAAAAATAAAGTTTAGGTAATCAGGGACTAGTTATAATCAAGAAATCTTAAAAAATTATAATAATTTATAGGATTAGTAAATTATTACAGGAGATTTATCTACTATTATATATATAAGCTAGGACCACTCTTTAATCTAATAAAAAAAATAAAAGACTTTAACTAGATAGATAATTATTAAAAAGTATTTAAAAATATTAAATATTAACTTACTATTATACTAGTCCTGATATAATATAATCTAGAGAAAGAAATAATAATTAAGATAAATACTTTAAATTATATTATTAGAATAAGAATAACTTAACTAGAAGATAATAGCAAGCTAAAACTAGTTATATTTTATTTAAGGAAATTAATCTAAGTAAAACTAAACTATAATATTTATAATAAGAAATTACTAGTAATTATTATTATATTTAAAATATAAAAAGTCTATCTTAAAGGAGTAAAGTAATAAGTTATTATTAGAATAAATTATAAGAATCTTATCTTTTTTATAATAATTAAAAAGTTAATATAGAGACAGACAAGATAATTAGAAATATTATTATAATATAATTTCAGAATCTAATATTACAAAGATAGTAAGAATAATTAAGCTAATATATTAAGTTAATAACTAGATTATAAGCTAAAGAATAAAATTATTAAACCTGTGATTCTTAAGTAATATAAAGATAGATTATTAATATATAATTATTAATAGCTAGCAGGAATCATAGAGATTAAGAATAATTTATTAAATAAGTTAATTTATAAAATAAAGAAAGATAAAATTATTTAAGAGATATTAAATAACTTAGTAGATAGTAATAAATTAGTTATAGATAAAGATAAATTAGTTTATATATATAAACTTATCTATATATCTTATTATATAAGATAAGAGATTATTAGGATATATTATAATAAATTACTTTAAGAATACTTTAGGACTAAGAAAATATATAAATAAATTACTTAGAATTATTATTAGTCTAATATACAAAAAACTATACAAGATTATATTTAAAATTATAATACTTGTATACAAGACAAGCCTGTAAGATACTAACTTTATAAAAAGATATAGTCACTAGATATACTAAAATAACTATAAGAATAAATTATAATAAACTTTATTAGACTATTACCAGAATCCTAAGAATAGGATATAATCACTATTATTATAAATAAGTTAATAAAATATATCTAGCTTATATTAATAAAAAGTATTATAACAGCACAAGACATAGCTTATATACTATTATATTATATTATTACTAATTATAAGATATTATAAAAGATTATATTAGATAAAGATAAGCTCTTTATATTAAAATTTTAGAAATTATTAATAGATATTATAAGAATTAATTACTACTTAATAACAGTATATCACTCACAAGCAAATAATTAAATAAAAAGAACTAACTAGACTATTAAGTAGTACCTTTAATATTATATTAATTATAATTAAAATAATTAGGAATAATACCTACTAATAGTATAATTTATATATAATAATATAGCACACGTAATCATGCAGGAGATATTATTTTATATAAATTATAATTATTATCTAAAGATATATAGTAAACCCAGGAACAAGGAAACTATATTAGAATAAATAAAAAGAGTAATAAAGATACTTAAAATATTATACTAGTAATTAGTAAGAAATATTAATTTTATAAATATAAAGACAGTGATTTATTATAATAAGTATTATAAAAAAGAGCTTAATCTAAAAGAGAGAGAAAAGATATTTCTACTTTATAAAAATATTAAAACTAAATAACTAAGCCAGAAACTTAACCACTAGAAATTAGGATTATTTATTATTAAAAAGAAATTAGAAATAGTTAATTATTAGCTAAAGCTACTAGAATTAATATATTATATATATCTAGTCTTTCATGTCTTATTATTAGAACTAGCACCAAAAGAAAGCTAAATTATAATAAATATAGAAATTAATAAAAGTATTAAATAAAAATATAAAATTAAGAAAATCCTGAGAGATAAACAAGTTAGTAAAAAATTACTTTACTTAATTAAATAAAAAGAATATAATATTTTAGAAAATATATGAGAGCTTATCAAGAATTTAATAAATTATTACTAGCTAGTTTAGTAATATTACTAGTAAATAAATTAATACTTGCCTAGAAAGAAGAATTATTTATTATCTAAGAAAAACTAGAAATATCTGATATTATAATAAGTTGAGTACTATCTTAAGTATTAGCTAGATAATCTAGCTCTTAGAGATTCTCAGGACTTAGAAGATTCTTATTATTAAGTTACTTTATAATAAAGGAGTTATAGCCAAGTATTTAGCTATTATAATCTTTTAGAAATTATTCTTATTTCCTTAAATAGAGGATCTTAGATATAACTTGTGATATTTTTTAAGAATATTCAAGCTATTACTTTTTAGCTTTAATTAAATTATTAGCTAGATACTTTCTATCCCTCTTAAGAGATTCTCACTCTTATTTACTCTATAACTACTTTATATACTTCTAATCATGGTATATATATTTAGCATAGTTCTTACTCTTTAAGTTTATAATATAATTAATATCACAAGAAGAATAAGATTTATAAGAAATATTAATAATAAAGCCAGTGACAAGAATAGAGTTATATTAATAAAGATAATTATACTTTTGAGTGTTATTATCTACTAGTATAATAATATTAGTATAAGAAAAAAGGATTAATAGGCTTTAGAAGAAACTATAATAAAAGAGAAATATATCTTTATAAGTTTCAAGAATAAAATATTAGAAGAGAGAGAAGTAATATTATAGAAACCTAATAAGATTAATATCTTATAAAGATAGCACAGCCAGGCAGAAGCCTGATATTAATTAATTAATATAAGGATTAGAACTCTTGCACAAAGATAATTATAAGTTATATAATATAATTATCTACTCCTAATATAAAGTGAAGGAGTAGCTATATAATATAATTATTTACTCTATACCTACTCCCAGGGAGTAGTCAGAGAAATAGGTACTAAGAAAAATATATAATTAAAGTAATTTTAGAAGTAATTATAAAGAAATTATTATAAAAGTAGCCAGAGAAGAATATATAAGAATATTTATTTACTTATATCTATAGTTTAATTAGTTATATTTAATAATACTCTTAAGTCTGAGTATATATTTTAAGTCTAGTTTTTACTTGTCTATATTTAATCTAAGTAATCAGGTTTTTATACCTGACACGCCTTACTTCTCTTATTACTTATTAAGTTACCTTTAGATCATCAGGTCACCTTGTTAATTAATATAGTTAGCATAGTCACTTAGTGAGGCCTCAGGTGGGTATAGAACCTATTATTAATAGCTGATAGGAAGACTACAGGGCGCTCTTCACCTTGAACAACCCAAGTCACCAACACTAGTACAGCAGAAGCAAGAAGGGATCCTAGGGTCTTGACAATATAGTTGAATTATCTATTTAAAGAATAATATTAGCCATTTCCTTAACATGAGATAGCCTAGGTGTTGCTCCACGCGTATCCCTGGATATTATCCATTCTATGAGAGCCTCCTCTTGAATATAGGATAGTTTGTGACTATTTGCATGTTATTTCTTGTGATATTAGTAACCTTTCAAACAATCCTGAAGAGTAGAATAAGGCATATTAAAAACCTCTGTCACACGACGAAGACTTGAAATTTTGTTGTTTTTAATAGTGGATATTGCAAGTTAAAGCCTTCCCTCTTGCTCTACCAAATCTTTTGATGAATTTTATTGTTTTGGTGGCATTATGGATGATTGAATAGCCTCAGTATCAAAGATGTGGGTATTTTGGAAGAGGTGAGCGGCTCGGTGGGGGTGAGCGGCTCGGTAGTGGATTACGTTATCCATATCTATATCGTATTAAGCACCGGACCGGGCGAAAGAACCCTCCCTGCAAGTGATCCAGGCGGAGGAGGATGTGATATATCGAGTTCCGCCTCCCCTTCTCCAGCTATCTTGGCTTTTTATTTTTTCTATTTTGCTTTCTTTTTTCATGCTGCACATACAACCGTGCATACCCCGTACATAATCCGTAGATAGTCTGTCCCATATATGTATGTAACAATGGAGCACGGATAGTTTGAGAGGAGATGGACTATGCAGCGGTAGTCAGCCGCACGGCAACGCCCGGGGAAGAAGCAATAGAGTCGAGACATCCAATTATTGATCGGACGACATGAGACTTGACCGATCGGTTGGACTAGATACATCTGTCTCATTGTTTTTGGTCGTTACCATGGTGCATCCTTCTACCTACTGACTCTCCGTACTTAGTACCCAGTCCTACTGAGAAAAACTCATGTGGCTGGACCCTTGGAGTAAGTGCCTCCATCGTACGGGGAATCAATTCCGACATCCTCGACACACCGCAAAACTCGCATCTCTCCAACTTCCCACTATATCGCTCGTTCGTTGAAGTCTACAGCCGTGTTTTCCGTTGCGGTCAGGACATACTGCGATGGACGGGGTCGCTGTGGAGGTCAGAACACTGTCCGGTCTCTGACTCCTTTCTGGAACGGGCTTAGCAAAAGACGTTGCGAGGTTAGTCCGTTGATTTTAGTCGGAGGATACCGTCGACGACTCGCCAGTCGCCACAGTCGCGCCGAGACGCTGGCGGGAGGAAATGGGTCGATCTTTCGGGCAGGTGGAGTGATGGAGTGATGTACAGGGAGAAAAAAAAAGAAAAGAAAAAAATGGTCAAAGATTTAGTTAGGTTGTCGCTGTAGTAACTATTAATGCCTTGCTTGGGATTACGTTGAAGGAACTAGGGCCCATCCAACGATCGACCCATCTGTCTGCAAGATGGAACAGATTTGGGTTGATTGACATGTTGATGGACAGAGGACGCCGTACAATTGATGGGTCATCGGGTATGCAGGTCGCATACATATTGTCTCGTTTTGAGATTTCAGCTTTCTTCCTTTGGTTCTTGCTTTGACCTCATTTTCTCGACGGGGAGACTGCAGTTAATATTAATCTAAGTATTATAGTTTGCTTTTTTGTCCCTTCCATTCTGGGCTGACATCCCGAGATGAATTAATTTCCTGGGACAGAAAAGAACAAGGGTCGATCAGCCGGTGGTGCATGGGTGCATGGCATGCCGCATGGATGGGCGGCGGTGCATACCGACCTGCCTGCCTACATACATCATACATATGTTGAGTGACCTGCAGTCGATCAGTGCACTGGTGTATTGTTCTGGAGGAGGACAGTGGCCATTTCCAGACAAGCATTGGAAAGGCTATGCAGGGGATTTGTTGCACCTGATCAAGAGGTGTGGTGTGGTGTGTTTTCCTTGGCTTACACATGTTTCCCTTTTGGTGTCCTCGGGCTGTAACATATACTGGGTAGTTATATCGAGGTACTGGGGTTAGTGGTACCTATTAAGCTCCAGGATAATTTTGATCCTCTTTGACATAATAAACAAAGAGGTAAATGAGTTATAAACATGTATCAAAATGAACAGTGAAACTCTGGCGGTTTCCGTGCAACGATGGTTTAATTGCGGGACATACTTCCTCGGTCCCTCGAGAGATGAAGGTGTTTCCAGCCACCCCCCCCCCCCCCCCCCCCCCCCCCCCCCTCTGCATGCCACGTAGAATTCCAGCGGGGCGATCAAACCCCTCTATTTGCATTGTTGGAGGTGGCATGCAGCGGAGGATGGAGCGAGGATGAATGGAGGATGAATGGAGTATGAAGCGAGAATGAAGCGGAGGGGAAACAATGTCAATCCAATGGAAGAATTCGCATCACCAGACGAATGGCGTGGCCTCATTGATGGAATGTAAAGAACGGTGAACTGTTTTTCTCCAGGCTATAACCAGTAGTTGCTTGTCATGTTGGCGGTCAGTCATCCTCCACTCCTACGACAGGCCCAGCCACTGTCGGGTTGGATTTTCCATTTTCTTACGATGAGAATAATAAGGATAATTACCCAAACCCGACGAACACCTCGGGATCCCATTATTGCGGATTGGAAAAAACTTGCATGAACGGTGACCGCCATCTCCCGACACTTTCTATCCACACGGCACTCTTTCCCGATCGAGTTTGGTCTGGACAACCACCGCCTTTTCTGTTTCTACTTTCTGACTGAGGTGTTTGTATCCGCTCTGGAAAACCTACACCGTAGTGTTTACAGTCTCCAAGACTAGAACCATCGCGACATGTGTCTTGTCCCCGGGGAAGAGGGAGGAAAGAGGGGGTGGGGAGACGAAGGAAGAGGATGAGATCATCACATTTGTCGAGTGTCATCCTTCGGTCGGACTTCTCTTGACACGAACTCACACGTCACATCCGTGGTACAATAGCAGGGACATCAGTCTTATCGCTGTTATTCTTACGGAGGATCTGTATTTCAACGCGTCCAGGTGACCTCAGGCAGCAAACAAGTCAGCAGTCGCGACGCGACAGAATACAGAACAGACTACAGACAGCGAGTCCGCACCGCGGCCCAACCAAATTGACCAAGTTGACCAACGTCAAACCACGCAAAACTCAAGTCCCCCCTGACTTGTCCGGGTTTAGGGCCCGTCTAACGATCACTAGAAGCCGACGCCAAGTGGGTCGGGTGTGTGTATTAAGGCTGGGCCAGGAAGGTTTGGACTCTTCATGGCCAGTGACCACTTGCTTTCTTGTTTTTTTTTTTTTTTTTTTTTTTTTCTCTTCTCTATTGTTTTTTTTTCTTTTGCCATCGTTCCAAACCCCGGCGGCACAGTTACCAATAAAGATATTATAATCAGGTAAGAATGTTAACAATACCGAGTTATAATAACGGTAATAAACAAGGTACTCTAGGATTGGCACGGGTGGCAGTGAGGATGGAATGAGGAGGAGGATTGGATTTAGGCGCCAATCCGTCTTTATCCTTTTGTTTTCGTTTCGTTCGTTTCTGATTTGCGCATGAAAGGATGAAATTGGAGGTCAACGTCCACCGATCTCTATCATCAATCGCGACCTCTAGTGGCCACCGACATGTATTCGTGTGGAATTATTTAACGCCCGGAAAAAGGTCGTTCAAGCCGGACGCGATGCAATCATTTACTCAGTAGGTAGGTATTGTTCGAGTCGGGTGGATTGAGAGGAGACGGACTTTACTGGTTCGGGATGGATGGATCCATTCGGTTGCCAAAATGGAACGGACGACGAGTACTCCTACCTAGCTTCAGACTGGAAATGATGATCCCCCACTGCCACGACTGTAATCAGTATTGTAATATAACATTGTTCTATTCTTGTTATCCGACTCCGTGGTGTATACTATATAGGAGTACTGCTATATGTGATATCAGGATATTATATAGTATTATATTATAGTATATTATAAATCATAGTATAATACATGATAATACAGGATAATATAGATAATATAGATAATATAATCTATTATGTGTTCAGTTGACCCATCGATGAAGTGTTCCTGACTGATCAATTGCGGACGGGAGGGACCGCCTCACATGGATGGATGATTTGATATGGAGATCTATAATTATCAGACCGAGTCATGAGAAAGTACCATCATCATTCTATTCTATTGATCGTATCTCCGCTACGGAGTATAGTGACCTTTATTGACCTTGATGTGTCTATATTTACTCTGGACATCATCTACTATTACCGTTGAACAGTGGCCGTTTCAACGCTATACTATTATAGACTCTCTCCTTTCGAGTCGTTCTTTGATTATTATTCTTAGGATTAATATTATTATTGATAGTTTGGGATTGACTTTGTTGACCAGACGGAGTGGATCCATGGAATTTGCATCATCTTGATTTGCTTGTGTGGAGACGGTGGAGCGACCACAGGGAGGACTGTTTGTATGATACATGTTATTTACCCATTTTCGTACTTAATTAGTGACATTATCTTGGTAAATGGTAATCTATGCATGTCCTGTACAGCGCAATACATTCCTAGTATCCTCTCCATCGGTCCATCTCTCCTCCACTGTTTTCTCCCTCTCTCATCCAACTCACTCTCACCTCCTGTTTATTCGTTCTTTCACTCTCCAATTGTCCCTCTTTTCTTTTTCTTTTCTGTCCTTTTATGTGATTTTCTTTTATCCTTTGGAATATTTTGTTTTATTTTTCCTCCATCTGATTTGATTGTCTCTCTCTCAACCTCCTCTTTTCAACCTGGTTATTGATTGTTTTATTTTTATTCATCATTTTATTTCTTTCATTTGTCCAACCTGACCATTCTTTTCTTTGCTTTTCTCTATCCATTGATTTACTTCGAGTTATTCTTCCTTATTTCTTTCCCAATTACTCCGTATCGACTTCTTAAACCGTTCCAACAACAGGATATCAACCAGGCTTAAAACCCCTCAATCGGTGGGATTTCCTTGTGACGGGATTTCACTGTGACTATTTCCTGTGGGATCGGCATCATCAACTCCTCCTAAGCTCCTCCTAAACTCCTCTTTTTTTTTTCCCTCTCCCCCTACTCCATCCGTCGACCGCTTCTTTTTTCTTCAGTCTCCACGGCCCCGAATTGGAGCTCTCTAGCACCACAAGCTGTCACCGCGTCAGGGGTTGCTAATTTACTCCTCCTCTGACCCTTCCCGATCATCCTTTCGTTTATACCCTTTCGTCAGTTCCCACCGGAGAGGGCCCGCTCCTATCTATCACTCCGCCAGTGATCCCCGTCCATTCTCTTGGGTCTTCCATCTTGCTTCCAGATCTCCCATTCCTACATGACTGCCCCCTTCCCCCTCCTTTCATTCTTTTATACATTCGACTTCGCACATCTAATCGATCACACCCCTCCTTCTCCTCCTCCTCCCTCATCCCACTTCGTCCCCTCCACATCTACCGTCCACATCTGCCGTCCATCCATGGGATAGACCTACCCTCACGCCTCATCCTGGAATCATCCCCTTCGCTAAACACGTCGAATGATGACCACTGGCCTCATCTAATCACCTCTCCCTTCCGAGTTCCACTGGAAGAGTCTCCTCTTCTTCCTCCCTGCCGACTCCGGTCTTTTCTTAGTTTATCTGCAGGCAGAGATCATCACAGACGAAAGAAGGAAACGAAAGAAAGAAAAGGAGCGTCATCATGACCGTCACCTTTGAACCCTCTCCCACCCGGAGCACCGCTCCCACCTCAGTGTCCTCGCTCGAAGATCGATTCGAGGTCATGAAGGAGGTGGGAGATGGCAGCTTCGGGAGCGTGGCCGTCGCTCGAGTACGAACCGCTGGCTCGAACATCGCACGACGCGGAACCATGGTAAGTCGCGGGAACGGGCTCCGCTGCGGATATGGGAACAGGAACAAAGAACATTGGGCTGACTCCACCTCTCAGGTTGCTATCAAAACAATGAAGAAGACCTTCGACTCGCTGACCCCGTGTCTGGAGCTGCGGGAAGTCATCTTCCTCCGTACCATCCCCTCCCATCCCCACCTCGTCCCCGCGCTGGACATCTTCCTCGACCCCCTCTCCCGCAAACTGCACATCGCCATGGAGTACATGGATGGAAACCTCTACCAGTTGATGAAGGCCCGCGACCACAAGTGCCTCGAGGGCAAGCACGTCAAGAACATCCTCTTTCAGATCTTGTCCGGTCTCGATCACATCCATGCCCACCGCTTCTTTCACCGAGATATCAAGCCCGAGAACATCCTGGTGTCGACCTCCGCCCCAACGACTCCGCCTTCAGCCGCTACTCCAACCTCGTCACCCCTCCCTCCACCCCGCCCACCTACACCGTGAAGATTGCCGACTTCGGTCTGGCGCGCGAAACCCACTCCAAACTCCCCTACACCACCTACGTCTCGACCCGATGGTACCGAGCACCGGAGGTCCTCCTCCGCGCCGGACAGTACTCGGCCCCCGTCGACATGTGGGCCGTCGGTGCCATGGCCGTCGAGATTGCCACCCTGAAGCCCCTCTTCCCCGGCGGGAACGAGGTCGACCAGGTCTGGCGCGTCTGCGAGATCATGGGCAGCCCGGGCAACTGGTACAGCAAGTCGGGCGCCAAGATCGGCGGCGGTGAATGGCGCGATGGCTCCCGTCTGGCCCAGAAGCTGGGCTTCACCTTCCCCAAGATGGCGCCGCACGCGATGGAGAGCATCCTCCCCTCGCCCCAGTGGTCCCCGGCCTTGAGCCATTTCGTCACCTGGTGTCTCATGTGGGACCCCAAGCACCGCCCGACCTCCAAGCAGGCCTTGAACCACGAGTACTTTGCGGATGCGGTGGATCCCTTGCGCCCGCGGTCGTCCACCGCTCGTCTGGTGAGCCGGAAGCACTCCGAGAAGGTGTTCAAGTCGCCGACCCGCGACCTGCCCGACGCCCCCGGTCTCTCGTCGAAGCCGTCCTGGTTCCGCCGCTCGCTGATCGGGAAGACCGAGAACACCACGACCGCCATGGACATTGATCAGCCGCCCAAGCAGCAGCCCGTCGTCTCCTACAATGTGCCGTCCGAGGCCCACACGACGACGACGACGACGACCACCACCACCACCCGGCCCGCACCACAGAAGCGGGCCACGTGGGCCAACGGCGCCCCCATGCCCATTCTGCCCTCTATCCGCCCCGTCTCGCCGCTGTCGAACGCTGTCACGGCGCAGGCGAACTCTTCGCTCACCGCGGGCGACGGGAAGAGCAAGAAGATCGGGCGACAGCTCTCGGTCAACTCGCACGGCAATCATTACGCCGACACCCACCGACAGGAAGCTGAGCGCATGCTCAACGGTGGCGCCCACAACACCCCGGGCTCCGGCCAGCGGGAAAGCTTCTTCTCCCACCTCCGCAAACGCGCTCGCCGACTGTCCGGCCGCAACCAGGCGCATTCGTCGGGGGAAGAGGCGGAGGGCAATGCCGGCTGCATGCCGTGGTCGAACCGGTCGTCGCTCGCCCTGGATTCCGCCAGTGGGTCCGACGCCAAGCAGAACGATCTCTCGGAGCTGGATAAGGCCCTGCAGGGGGTGAGGTGCTCCCTGGATTCGACGGCGCTCGGCAACGTGCCCGTCTCGATCACCACGACGATCGAAGGTGGCAAGCGCCAGTCGATGCCCCACGGATCCATTCGCTCCATGGGCGATAGCCCGGTGTCGACCAGCAGCACGAGTGCGCCCCTCTCGAGCCGCACGCGACGTGCCATGCAGATGTCCACCCACCCCGTGCACCGGTACGAGACCCCCGAGGAGGAGGACGAGCTGCTCGACGAGGTGCTGCACTCGACGAGCAAGGCGGCCAAGCGCCTGGCGCAGACGCAGAACTCCTCGGACGGCTCGTCCAACTACAGCCGGCAGCCCATGCCAAACGACAGCTCGCGGACCCTGCCGAGCCCGTACCCCACTCCCTCCCCGTCAGCGCGGTGTGACGGCGTCTCGTTCGGCCAGGATACGACGCCCTGCCGGCGGGACGAGAAGGCGACCTACCCCAATCGTCAGTGGCCCACGCCGCCCTACGAGGAAGGGGATTGGGCGCACCCGGCCCCCTCCCACCTGCTGGCTGGTCCTACCTATCGGTAGTCAGTCTCGTTTTCGTGTCGACTATCTGTTTCACATTCTTCTGCCATTTACACATCACTCGGTGGTCTGGCGATTTTCACCAAGGCGTACGGATCTGGTGTCCTATACTGTGTTATCTGTGTTTTCTTTCTTATGTGGGCTGCGTTCTTGTTTATCATCCCTTTTATAGGGCGGTATCGCGTCTTCTTGCTTTCATACCCCAAAGGCCAACAATAGATCTACCCGGCCTCGCACCTGTTTTTTCGGCATGCAGTGTTTGTCTCTCCTTTTGCACATTCCCTGATTCACTGATACCACCCTCATCCCTTTACCAGCGCGCCAGTCGCAGCTCCTTTCCTTCATCTATATATATCTGCACGTGCATACCCCGAATTTGTCCAAATCGTTACCATCCTTTTTCCTTGCGTCGCTCTCTCATTCTTCAGCATTGACTTATTCCCCCGGGCTTCATTCCTTTGCACAAAATTTCTTCTTTCCCTGTACAATCTTGTTGTTTCGTTTACTGGGAGACCACTGGCGGATGGTCTGGGATATAAAATACCTACTCTAGTACTTGTAATATAGTTATCGGCGGATACGCTTGCATATATTAATTGATACATATATTTATACTCAATAACGTTCAATCAGTTTCTTTCATTTATAATAAGTATTTTGTCTAGCATGGACCATAGGGAGTAGATAGTACGGAGTAGATAGATAGATAGTAGATAGCAGATAATAAAATCCAAAAACGGAACAACCCCGGCCCGCCCGCAGAATTTCCCAATCAAGCCATCACCATCATTATCAAAAGAATTCCTCAATTTCTCTCCCTCCAAACCACTTTAAATCCCACTGCCAACACAGTTGGAACGAGACAAGAAAGATGTCCGCCCAACGCCAAGCCTCCTCCGCCTCCCAAACCCCGCACCTCTCCCCAGCAGAGCTCTCCTACCTCTACACATCCCTCTCCCTCCCCAACGCCCCCATCCGCCCCGACGGCCGCTCCGCCACACAGTTCCGGCCCCTCGCCGCCGAAACGGACGTCCTGCCCGGCGCGAACGGCAGCGCGCGGGTCGGCTTCGCGGACGGGACGCAGGCCGTCGTGGGCGTCAAGGCTGAGGTTGAGAAAACTGTTCTGGGGTCGGATACGACGGCCGCCGCTGCTGCGGCCGGTGATCATGATGGTGAGGGGGTAGCTGGTGGGGATGGACAGGCGCCCGGGCAGGGTCATGGCTCGTGGGTGCAGATGTCGATTGAGATTCCGGGGTTTCGGGACGATGATGCGTTGCCGGTTTTTTTGGCGGAGATGATGCGCGAGCCGCTTGTGGAGAGTGTTTCTGATGCGAAGGGGAGTGGTGGGGGGATGACGGGGGGGTTGAAGGCTAGGTTGGTTATTAATAGGAGGTGGCATTGGAGGTTGTATATTGATGTATGTCGTCCTTTTTTCCTTGCGTTGCTGTTTTATGCTTTGATGGGTTTGTGGGTGTGCTAACGGGTATAAGGTTCTACTCCTCTCGCAACCTCTTTCCTATCCCCTCCCGCTTCTCTCTTTAACGACACACCTCGCGCTTCTCTCGACGAAACTACCGAAATTGAAATCGCAAGGCGAGGAGGATCCGTTTTTCGACGACGATTGGAACGCCGCGGAGTATCTGTATCCGCGCTCTGCGACCCCCTCGCTCAAACAGCAGCAAGTGCGCCCCCCTGTCACGCTGCTCGTCATTGCAGTCGGCGAAAACGTCATCTTCGATCCGAACAGGGAGGAAATCGCCGTCGCGGACACCGTCCTCGCTGTGTCGGTCACGCGCAATGATGGCTCAGACGGTCTGAAATTACTATCTATCCGCACGGTGGATCCCCCGTCGCGGTTAACGCAGCCGGGTGTTCCGAATGCGGAGAACGCTGCTACGGGAGGTGCAGCCACTGGAGGAGGTGCGACAGAGTCGGGCGAAGTCCCTGGTGTGTGGCGCCCGCGGAGAGGAGGCGTCAAGCGGAGTACGATTGCACGCATGGCGAAGCTAGTGCTGCAGAGGGGGGGTGTGGGGGAGGAGGTGCTCGAGGGGTTGGAGGGTGTGCAGGTGGGGTGAGTCTTTTGTTGAGAAGGAGGGATATCCTTATTTTATCGCTTGGTTGAGCGAGTGACTTGACTTACTTGACTTACTTGAGTTGAGTTGAGTGGGTATGCAGGGCTCGCCGTATGTCCGCGATGCGAGCGCGGTAGTCTAGTCTGGTCTAGTCTACCTGCGCGGGCGAGTCGTCTCCAGCCCATCTGCTGAGCTGCGACTCGACTGGCTATACTGCACTATGACTACGACACTATGACTACGGCAGGATGAACGGTTATGGATATGCATCATCCAGACCGAGCGAGCTGTACATATTACATAGATCATACGAAACAACAGACATGACATTTAATATACACTTCATCTCTTCATCTTATCTCATCCTACATCCTCATTTAACCATTCGCTATCTTACATCCTCATTCCCCAATCCTCTTTCCTTCCTAGACACCCGTCAAATCTATAGAATAAAGTAAAGTGAAAGAAGAGATCACCAAATCCCCAACCACTTCTTCACAGGCCTCCTCTTCCCCTCCCAATCCACATACTCCCCATCCTTCCCCTCCTTCTTTCCCTCCCCTTCAGAAACACCTCCCTCCTGCGCAACAGGCGATTGCTCATCCACAACACCCTCACCCTCACCATCCTTCCCCCCATTCGTAAGCGGAGCAGCCGGCTCCTCCAACCCATGCGCAACCCGATACTGCCTCCTCTTCTCAGCGTCCTCAACTCGCTGCATGCGCTTCTCGCGCGTCTGCACAGACGTATGCTGCACGTGCATCCGGAATACGCTCATCGCGCGCGACACGGTCGAGAACGGTGCGGTCAGCAGGTCGGACCAGGCGGGGAGCAGGTGCGCGAAGGGCGAGGATTGGCGGAAGTTGGTGGTGAAGGTGAACGTTGCGAGGGTTGTTAGGACGCCCTGGTTGTATTGTTAGCGTTTGTTCACTTACTTCCTGTTCCTCTCTGTATATATACAGTCTTTTGAAGGGATAGGGATAAAGGGGAAAAGAAGGAGGGGCCAACCATCGCAATCCAAATATGAATCCACCGACTCGTCAAAAACTTGAACATGACCGTTCCCTCCGGCGGGAACATGTGCGGATACTGTTTATTCTTCTGCGCCTCGCGCTCTTTGTCGGATAGCTTCGGACCGGGGTAGTTGACTGGTTCGCGGGTTTGCACTTTTCCGTTGCGCGTTTGGACGACGCGGCGAGCGGGGTGCGAGGGCGGGCGGAATTTGTCGGGTTGGGAGAGGGTGCGTTTGGGGTCGTTTGTGTTGTTGCTTTTGGGGGTGCTGGTTGTGAAGGGTGCGCTGGGGCGCATGCTGAGGGGGCTTCTTCGGGGGATTATTCCGCGTAAACCCCCCGGGAGGAGAAAGCGGGGGATGGGGTGTGGGGTGGGCATGTTGTTTGGGTTGTGTGTTGGTGTTGCGGTATGTTGTATCTTGATGTTTATGGTGAAGTTTTTCTTCCGATGCGGAGATCGTATCACGTGATTTTATATACTTGTATGCCTTGGTGCCTGATCTATATAGTAGGCAGGAGGTATACTGCGTTGAAATGATGGTATGCTGTTTTTATAGAATACGGTCTGTATAGATTATGTCTCTATAGCATATGTCTGTACAGAGTATTCGTGCTGTCCCCAGTACAGTAGGTGTGGCTGCCTTATAATAAATGTTCTGTAGTAGAACTACCAGGTTAAGACTGCTGGATATTGACTCCCGATGAATTCGATGACCACACGCAGAGGATGACAAGTACAATGTTGGATTTCCTGGGATCTCTGTTGATTTGATTATAATTGACTGTTCATGGGTTCAATGCCATCACACCCTGACTTCATTCCACCGGTCACAAAGACTTGAATTAATGGCCAGATTGAAGACAGACATATACGCGATCCACCTTTCTAAGAAGGATGCATTCTGCCAGATCCGACCGCCCATGTGATCAAGCGTCAGGTGCCCGACCTCCGGCCGAGCTGCCTCAGGCCACCCGGGCCAAGGGCAGATTCTGCCGTGGCAAATGACGAGCCGGCTATTTCCAGTTATTTTGATTATTTTCTGGCGTCGGTCTGGATCTTGGTCTGGGTGATGGCGATGAGGTCATCGCTTTGATAGTCTTTTCATGACATCGGGTGTACTATATGGGGTATATTGTAGATAGATCAAAGGGTTACTGTTTGATATGGTTAGTCTAAATTGAATATAGAGTGTATAGAGAATATCACTCATATCGGCCTACATACTCCGTATCAAGGCAAGATAGCCAGACCGAATTAATCTCCCTGGAGCAAAAAGAGGATTTCCGACCGCGCCCGTCAGCGGTGAATCATCCTGCCTCTGATTGGCCTAGAACCAGATCACGGGAGCCCTCGGGGGCAATGGCCGCCGGCCCCGTCCTTGTACAAATTTCTCTCTCCCCGAGCGCAAGTTTTTCTCTTCTCTCTCTGGACTTCTTCATTTCTCTTCAATTCCTCTCTCGATCACTCAATCGCTCCGTCTCTTCCTCGCTGTACAGTAACTTCCGTCTTTCTTTCACTTAGACTTCTTTTCTATCTTCATAATGGGCAAGGAAGCTTCTTTCGCTCCCGGTAAGATCACTTCCTCCCCTGCTGCTTCCTGCTCTGTCTCCTGGCACCGCTGTGGTCATCCTCACCTCACCACACCTTATTCACGCCGCACGGTAACTTTGCGGACGATGATTCCGACCCTGTCATGATTACAACATTGCCGTGAATTGCGCCCATTTGAGTTCTGGGGGGTGATGCCTTGTCATTGCTTTGTTTGGGTTGTTCTTTGAATGTCTTTGGATGTCCTTTGTCAACTCAATCCCCAAAACTCACTACCAACCTCACTATCAACCCTTCTGTCAACTCGAACCATACCCAGCGACACTGCACTCGTCATTTCCAGTTTCCAGCTATTCAAGATTCAAGATTCAAGCCATCAACCATCATGACCAGCTACGATGTTTTTTGCTTCACCACATCTCTCCACATCCGGGAGGCAGAGCTAGAAGCCATCAGGAATGCCAATGAAGCCAACGACGCTGACCGTCTTCTTTCTCCAGGTGACTCCGCCAAGGGTGCCAAGCTCTTCCAGGTGAGAACCTACGACGATTCTAAAGCATAAAGAGGATGCTAATATCATCTAGACTCGCTGTGCTCAGTGCCACACCGTCGAGGCTGGCGGTGCCCACAAGGTCGGCCCCAACCTGAACGGTCTCTTCGGCCGTAAGACTGGCTCGTCCGAGGGCTACTCCTACACCGACGCCAACAAGCAGGCCGGTGTCACCTGGGACGAGGGCTCTCTGGTAAGCATCATCTAGACCGTGTGCGCCGGTCCATGCGCTAACCCCCACTTCAGTTCAAGTACCTCGAGAACCCCAAGAAGTTCATCCCCGGTACCAAGATGGCCTTCGGTGGTCTGAAGAAGCCCAAGGAGAGGAACGACCTGATCACGTATGTCCCCAATCTCGCCCCCCCCCTCCTCAATCTACTACAGTGGAGAGCAAAACAGACTAATCCTCTCGCAGCTTCCTCAAGGAGAGCACCGCCTAAATTCACGACCGTCTGTGAACGACAAGAGAAAACAAAAAAGATTTCCTTGATTTTTTCTTTCCACTCTTCTCTTCATAACCCGGTGCCGGAGGGACGGATCATGCGTACGCACTGTGGTAACAGCAGAGATTCAGCCACCCGATGGGCAGGGCTTGTAATATTATTGACCTTGTTTACACTACAATAGACCTGGTTTTCCTTGGTTGTTGGAGTATTGCGGGGATGTCATCAATTGAGATGTTCGGGTTGCGACCGTCAACTGCATCCGCCTGCAGAGTCTCCCCCCTTTCCCTTTTCCCCCCTTTTGTTTTATTCTGAATGGTCGGATATGGTTTTGTACAGTTCTGTAGCATGGCTCACTTGGTTTTGAGATTGTTTTGATCAGGCCGAGAGGCGATAATGAAATGAAACTCCACTCATGATTCTTCTCTTCTCTTTACTTATGGTTCAGATTCCCGTGACCTCCACGTGTTAATGTCACGTGTTCCCGGCGCCAACCGCTGCCGTCCCAGTCTCAGTCTGGCAGTCATCCCATCAAGTCAACATCCTCGATCGATCGCCATTGTTCCATGACGCAAGCTGACTCGATGTGGATGGTCCCCTGCAACACCGACCAGTATGATTCCCAGTGTACATCACGTACATCATCCCCCATCCTGACTTGTACCTGAGGTCGCCCGAGTCCGACACTACTCAAGGGCCCCTCTCTCACACGTACTAACACCATCCATCCCCCTCCCCCACCAACCTGATCGAGCGTTATCACTGCAGTCCATCCGATGATCCTTGCAGCCTTGACCGCATTTGCCTTTTCTCCCAGAACCTGCAGACTGGGGACTACGACGGCGCTGTACGGTGCAGTACGGGCTGGAACACATGACCGGGGTCCTGTTTCGTATCATTGGCCCAGCCTCCAATCGCCGCCCCTCTTGGGCTCGTTGGACGTTCTTCCTTCGCGACCCTCGACTCGCCCATCAGATAGGATAGGACCGTGTCAGAGCGTTCAGATCGGGGGGTTTCCCTCTCCCAGGCCTTTCCACTGACGGCCACGCTTGATTAAAATACCCTGCCTCCCCAAATGCGAGGGGCAAATTCCTTCATCAAGTCTCCCCTTGGGTACCTGGATCTTCTCCTTCATCCCTCTTCACCAACCCTAGAACGGCCCTGTTGCCACAGATAATCCAGAATCATACCAAGATTTTTAAAAAAAGAAGAAAATATAAGACAATAAACTCAGTGAATGTGGACTGATTGTGCTTCACTAACCTCGTTCCCTTCCAACACCTTGTGGCACCTCCCATCACCTGCAAGTGCCGTTGTAACTGCTCCTCTCCTTCACTGACCTATCTGCCATTCCCTCCGCCGATTGCTTACTACTGCTCTGGATCATCCGAAGTCGAGTGACTTGTCCCCCCTCCAGGCCAATCACTCCGGTGGTCCAGCCCACCCCTCCCCGTCCTCAGGCATCAAGGCCTCACCTTGGACTTCTCCCTCGTTGCGACTCGTCCTGCCGTGTCGCATTCCCATGTCTTGCATCGTTGTATCTTGGTTTATTCCTTCTGACTTGCAGCTTCATTTGTTGCTCCCATTTCTTGATCTTGTACCCCACCAAACCCTTCTCCCGCCATCAGCGCATAGTCCACATCCCCATTCGACCCGTGGCGCCCTGCGTTGTCGCGACTAACCAGACACCTCCCAAGCCTTTACTTACTCGCCCAATCCCCGACAGTGAGCGTTGCGCCCGCACGTCCTCACTTGTCGCCTCGCGATCGCCGCGATTTCACTGGCCTTGGAACTTTCGCGGGTGTCGTGCGCAACCCCGTCCATGATGCTGGACGAATTGGACCACGTATTTGACGATCATCCGTCGCTGGATGCGTCCCTCGAAGACTTTGAGAACAACAGTAGTCCCCGGCCCTCCCCGGTCTTCGGCCTGCCATCACAGCATTCGGGCTTTCGAGCTGAAGAATCCGACGGGGAAGATGAAGCGACCCCCAACGGCGAGGTGTGGTCGCCCCCGGGCGATCGCCGGTACGACTTCGTGCAAGGCAGCGGATGGTACCGCCACTCGCCATACACGCGCAAGTTCGACGAGGATCGACCGACCTTGAAACCGACCGTGGGCCTCAGTCCATCGCAGTCGCGCGAACCGAGCCCCCAGTATGAGGATGCGATGGAGGCGCCTACCGAGGTGCAGCGAAGTGTGTCGGCGGATACGGGGGATGTCACACTGGCCGCCAATGTGCCTCTGCCCACCGGAGCAGAATCACCCCTGAAGGGTCGCAGTCCAAGCCCCGTGCGAGGCGCGGAGACCAGCCCGGGTCCGGAGGACGTAGACTTTCGGCCTGAGAATAACATCAGCAATTGTAGGCGCTCTCTCCATTCTTTTTTTTATTTTAATCCTGACTGCAGGTTGGTGTTGAACGCTAACGAGTGCCTTTCTTGCTTGGCCCATCGTGCCGTGAAGACATCCGGTTCGCTGTTAGGGCTGAAGTTCAACATCGCGAACCCTTCGTCGCATTCTTCGGTTACTTGCGATCCAAGTTCGACAACATAACCAGCTCCAAATCTAGCACGATCCTATCGGCTGTCGCCCTTTTCCTCTCGCTCGCCATCATGCACGCGCTATTCCTACCCAGCGTCCCGCAGTCCATCCCGGATCTGGTGAAGCTGTCCGGGTTCGCGCGATCATTCGAGCCACTGATCCACTACTCGGAGAATGGCGTGCAGCATATCGGGGCACTGCAGGAGACCGGCGTGGCCGTGTGGGACCTGAGCGAGTCGGTGCGCGGGACGAACATGACCAGCGCGCCGATCATCGTGGGCCAGCTGGATGAGCTATCCGACTCTTTGAAGTCGCTATCGCTGGAGCTGACGCGCTTCTTCGCCAACGTCGACTCCGACGTCGACTCGATCCTCATCGTCATGGACTGGGCCAAACGAGAGCTCGAGGCCCTGTCCTCCCAGCCGCCCAGTTCACTCCCGACGATCGTCTTCGACAACGTGCACGACCTGCTGGCGCAGCTGGGTACGCTGGAGCAGGTGGCGGAACCAAGCAGCGGCGACGAGGGCGGCACCAGCGAACTCACGACGACCCCGACCACTTTCGGCAACATCGTGACCACCATCTTCGGACAGACGGCCGCCCAGCGCACGCGGTCCGCCCTCACGCGCACCTTCACCGAGTTCCTCTCTGTGCTGGAGGAGTCAATCAACAGCGAGCTGACGCACTCGACGGCGCTCTTCGCACTCTTCGAGTCCATCGACCGCCAGTTCCTGAACCTGCAGCGCACCGTTGTCCGCGAGTCGGACGCCCAGGAGCGCGCCGAAGGCGAGATGCTCAGTTCACTGTGGACGCGCGTGCTGGGCCCGAACGCCGCCGTAGTGCGCAAGTACGAGAAGAACAAGCGCCTGCTCGCCAGCGTCCGCAGCCGCACCGTCGCCAACAAGCACCTCCTCATGGACCACCGCGGCCGCCTGCTGACCCTCAAAGTCAACCTTGAGACGCTGCGCCGGAAGCTGGTGAGCCCACTCGTCCGCCGCAACGACTCAGTCAGCTTCGTCGGCGCCCTCGACAGCGGTCGCAGCAACGGCCGCCTGCTGGGTCCCGTCGAAGCCGTCATTGAGGGCCAGATCCGCGGTCTCGAAGGCAGCTACGACTACCTGCGCACCGTGCGGGATAAACAAAAAGCCAAGCTCATGGAGATGGTGTACGGATCCGGCCGGAAACTCCCCTCCACACTCCTCCCAGAAACTTCCGACGAGGGTGAAACAATAGAGGGGTGACTGACCAATCCGATCCACCTTCACCTTCACCTCTCTTATTGCTCTTCACAATTAGCCATCACAACCCGTCACATCCACCATTCACAACCCTCAACTGTGATTTCAGAATTTCCCTCCATTCCTCAGTCCATATTCTATTCCATTCCTCACATCCTGTCTTAGAAGATTCCTTTATCACACCCCCTGGGGGCGGCGTTTAGCGTTTCGTGCAAGAAACAGACATACACGCATGGTCATTTGGTTTTGTAAAGCACTCGGGGGCGAAGAAGGTCTTCTTATCATTGACATTGACACTGGGATTGGAGTTTGGTTTATCTCTTTTTTTTTTTCTATCAGTTCCTCTCTCGGCTCTATCACCATCCTGGGTTGTTGGTATTGTTGTTGTTTGCGGGTTGGGTTTCCTTCAATGATTATGTCGGTCCTTGGTTTTGTGGTTGGTTGGTTTTGGTTGATTGACTGACTGGTTGATTGTTTGTCTGTTTGGTTGGTCTTGATTGACTGACCGGTCAACCGATTGAAATCAATGGACGACAGGTGGATGGATGATGGCATTTATGGTGTACAGGTAGCCCATCTTTTACATAACTGAATGTCTTTACTTTACATTGGAATTCCAGACTATTTATCTACGTTTGTTCTTCTATTCTATGCTTTCTTTTCTCCATGGAAATGAGGTAGTAGAACTGTTCAATCTGCATTACCTTCATCATACCTTCTTACCCAGGCAATCCGATGCCGGGGCAAATACTCGCCTCCAGCTTAGGACTACGCTATCTACAATGAGGATCCAACAGAGTCAAAATAGTGGTGTATAGTAGGTAGTACGCTCATGCCTACCCATCTTAAAATATAGAAATAAAGAAAAGACCAAGGTCCAACGTACGTGAGTAGGAGACATCCCCAAACTTATAATCAGTATACCGTGTCTGCCTATACCAGGTAATATTTCTTGCACTGGTTTCTCAACTCCACTGGGATCGGCTCAGCTGCTGGGTGTCGTTCCTTCCTTTTGGGGAGTAGGATGCACCTGCCTCTTACTTGTGAAATGTTGTCCGTTCCTTCCTTCCTCTTAGGATGAGCTGTGCTTGATACTATGAAGTGGTGTGTTTCGCTCTCTCTCTTCCCTCTCTGCTTCTTCCATCTCTTCATTATTCTCGTCTCACAATCATAATCATTGCCTCTCTCGACGATTATCTTTCATTATCATTTTCCAAAGCTGAGCACCCTCCTCCCATTAGGATGGAGCTGGATTCGCTGTTTCATATGTTGTGTCAGAGGTTCCTCTACATTTTTCCACGGATATTCCTCGCTTTACAAGCAAGTCAAGCATCCCAATAATCCTAAAACACAAGCTTCCATACCCCCAACCCCCTCCTATCACAGTCATGAAGATAGAACCGGTGGCTGACCACATCTTTGACATCGTGACTTTCATCATCTCTTTTGATATCCCTCCTCGAGGGCTGGCTTGAGAGGGTACCCTATCACCGTGTGGATTTGGCCCTGCTTCTGGGACAAGCTGCATGATAGGCTCTCTGGTCTGGAGAGGCGGCAAGAGACTTGCGAGGATGGCTCCCCTTGAACGACCACCAGCACCAGCGAGTGGATTAAGTGCTGACCAGCTTGGAGGGTGCCGTCGCCATTCTGCAAGCTAGGGAGGACGCACTGTCCACTCGCTGGGCATGGTGCCTCGTTCGTGAGGGTGCCATCCACTGGTCCGTCAGCGATGCTGGCTTGATCGATCCAGGGGCATCTGGGAAGGGATGGATAGAGTCAAACTCGATGATCCCTTTGGCTCTGGGCAGAGCCGGATGGGGGATGGTCACCAGCAGCGAAAACTCGCAATTCTATGCAGTGCTGGTGATTAGTAGCCTTGGGGTGAAGCCAAGACCGTGTTTGGGACATTGTGACTTTCTGCGTCTCTCTGTTTGATCTGTTTTTTGCAATATTGTCACAGGGTTCTTTACCGCAAGAGTGGCGTTTTCCTGCGCGTTTGAGGGAGAGGTAGATAGGGCCAAACCCGGTGATCCCTCCGGTTCTGGGTCGAGCCGGATGGGGGAGGGTCACCAGCGACGAACTCGCACTTCTACGCAGTGCTGGTGACTAGTAGCCTCCGGGTGAAGCCAAGACGAGTTCATAGTATGTTCAAGTAGTTACCCTGTTTACGACTCCTGTACGGGACAGCGTTCTTTGATGTTGCTACTTTCCTTGCTCTTGCAGTTAGCAACATCTATTAGAAAGGATCAGTTCCTTCTTTTCTCTTCTTCTCCCGCGTATAAGTATACGTACTGATAGCCCTCTAAGTTGGCTAATCCCACACTGGTGCTCAATAAGTGCTTCTTTTTCCTTGACCTCCTTTAGTCGACCGTCTTCCCTTGATGATGCTAGTCCTTTGGCTGTCTCACATGTATATATGACCACCAGACGTTTTATCGTAGTGTGGATCACTGTGGCGATATATTCAATGATGATTGAGGTTCAACCGATGATGGTGTTATAAAAGAAGACGGCCCTAACAATGATGAAAAACATGATGTAAATTAAGGAAATATATTGGCTGTTAGCAGAGACACATATCTCCTACATTCTGACTGGGATTTGTTGCCTATTATATCTTCTTACCTACCCAAGCAGGCAATTACTCACTTCCGGGGCGGCTTAGGGCTAGGATGAGGGAGGCACCAGGCAGAGGTCAGAGAATGGTACATCACGTAGTATAGTCATGCTGCCTGTCTAATGTATATCTTCTAGAATCTATATTTACAAGCTCGTATCTTCCCACGCTGTTTTCTCTTCTTGGAAGTAGAGTCAATCTCAACCTGACTAGAGCTAGGTCCTACTAGAAGCTGCGCCAGTAGTCGCATAGTCTGTCCAGGGAGCAACCGCCCACGAGAACGTATGTCGAGGAAAGAAATACCAAAGGTCCGCCGGGCGAAATGGTACCTGCGGTAGTAGCTGGCGTGATTCTGTTCCTAGGCAAGGAAATATTGTCTGCCGGTTTGTTACTTGGTTCATAGTAGTATGTTCCAGTTGGCAAGTGCCTACCTAGTCCGTCTCGCCTCCCATACGAATGATTCGTATATCGCTTTTGCCCATATTCACTACCATCTACTGTCAACAGTAGACCATTGATAAGCAAGTATAGACCAGCGGCCAGGAGCGCATGGGCACAGTCGAAAGAAGTTCTTTCCGTGCCCTAATGGGGTACACCCTCATATCTTCCCCCAAAGCTCGCGGTAATCCAGCTGCACCGGGTGCTGTTCCTTCCTTTCTAGCAGGAGGCGCCTTCTACTTGCGAATTGTCATGGCCATGGCCTTTCATTCCTTCCCATTAGGATGGAGCTGGACTTGCTGTCATAAAATGGTGCGTTTGGGGCCCCTTCATCTTCTTCTTTTCCTCCTCACAGATCTTTTTTTCGCTTCACAAGTAAGTCAAGCATCCCAGCAATCCCAAAACACAAGCTTCCATACCCCTCCTATCACAGTCATGAAGACAGAACCGGCGGCTGACCACGTCTTTGATATCGTGACTTTCATCATCTCTCTGATATCCCTTCTCCAGGTCTGGCTCGAGAGGGTACCTATCATCAAGTGGTTATGGCCCCGCGCTTGGGACATGCGGCGGATGTTCCGGCGCGCATCCACTGATGATGGCTCGGTCGCCCTGGATCATCTGAGAACCGACCTTGAGCGGTCTCCAGAATTGAAGAAAGTCTTGAGCCACTTGGAAGATCTCCAGTCAGGTCAGCAAGTGGTGCTTGAGAGACTGACTGATCTGGAGAATCGACTCAAGGATCGCGAGGATGAGCTCTCAAGGAACGGGCACCAGAAACAGCGAGTGGATAGGCTGCTGTCCAGTCTGGAGGGTGCCGTCGCCACCCTGCAGGCAAGGACTGATGCACCATCCACTGGCTGCGAACGGTGCCATGTTCTTGAGGAGGCCACCCACCATTTCCTGAGCAGAGCTCGGGCGATCCAAGACCGCAAGGTCTGAAGATCCAGGACTGCAAGGTCTGGTGCTTGATGGTGGGTGTCTGGGGCGTCTGGGGGAGAGATGTATAGAGTTACACCCCAAGATCCCTCCGGTTCTGGGCACAGCCGGATGGGGGAGGGGCCACCAGCGACGAACTCGCACTTCTACGCAGTGCTGGTGACTAGTAGCCTTCGGGTGAAGCCAAGACGAGTTCATGATTAGTTATGTACCCTGTTCGCGACTCTTTCGAGGATTAATGTTCTTTGGTGTTGTTAGAGAGAGAGAGAGAGAGAGAGAGAGAGAGCTGCATTATCCTCAAGTATATCACCATTTCCAGGATCCTTCCGAGTCACTGGTGGCCAAAAGGCCCTAGTGTTAGGCGCAGCCTTAGGATTCAGGCAGCAGATCAAGATGCGGCAACCTCAGGCAGCGCAAGAGCCTCTGGCGTAAAATATAATGTCACAACAACTCGCCGACGGGCCCACGAACACTCCGCAAGCAACCACATCGACGCGTTCTTGGCAACATGAACCCAACCCCGTGTTGCCGGCTACAGTGCTGGTGACCAAGTACTAGCCTTCGGATGAAGCCAAAACAGGTTCAAGTAATCATCTGCCTGATTTGAGACGCCCTGACAAGTGATGTTTTCGGTGTTCTTTCTTTGACATCATGTAGTCGACACTGGGTGGTGATCCCCAGAGCAACAGCCCCCCGGTCGATAATGCCGCTGAAGAACGGACTAGCATGGTCAAGGGAGGACAGTCAACTACAGGAGGTTAAAGAAGAGGGAACACCTGTGTGGGCTTAGCTACCTCTACGTTCACTCACACATGAAAGAAAAGAAACCAATCCTTTCTGCCATGCTGCTAAATACAAGAACAGAAGGAGGCACATAACAACACCAAAGAGATCTCTCATTCATCGAATCACTTTCAACATGGCTGCTACTCCAAATCCACAAAGCTCTTTGAAGATGGTCTTTCAGTCCGAGTACAGTCTGCTGGAAGAGTGGGCTCCTCAAACACTGGAAGACTATTCATGCATCAGGAAAGACACCTCCCCCGCTCAAGAGCATCAAAGAGACATGCAGACTCTATCAAAGAAGCTTCAACAGAACCTCTCTCCTAGACAGACTTGACAACAGTCATCTTTGGTTTATGAGGATTGAGGAATGGAAGGCCCAGGTGTCTTGCTCTTGAGTAAACAACACTCCCCTGATTAAGCCCCCAGCACTCAACGACATGAATCCCTCTAATGTCAACCACCCTGTCTCCCAAGCCGCTCATGACACCCATACAGAGAACGAAAAAGTCAAAGACCGTCCACGTGTAGTGGTGGGTGAGTCTACTACTACCAATGACCAGAAACCATCTCCGAAGAGCGCAGGACATGGTGGACAGCACACACCTCTGGACCACAGACTCATCTACACGTCTCCTCCTTTGCAACCTCTTCAACCTCGCCAACGCCCGCTGTTGACTTATCTACACGTCTCCTCCTTTGCAACCTCTTTGACCTTGCTAATACCTGCTGTTAACTTATTTACATGTCTCCTTCTTCATAACCTCTTTAACCTTGCTAATACTTATTATTAACTTATTTATATATCTTTGTTTTTATAATCTTTTTAATCTGATTAATACTTATTATGAACTTATTTATATATCTTTTTCTTTATAATCTCTTTAATCTTATTAATATCTATTATTAACATATTGTCATAACCAGGAATATAGACCAAGTGCTTGGCTTGGTAAAGTGGATATAGGATACCCCTGCAGGTAGATGATGGACTGATATCTATGTAATAATGCGCGTTGGGGCTACGCACTACCAACTGAGCCAAAAGATGACTAGACCCCATGGTCTGGTTCGCCCGAATCACACTACATATACCCCCTAGGGGGTTCGGCACTTATGACAATCTAACTAACAGGTACTTGCTGAGTATAATAGACTATAAAAATTATTAGAATAATACTTAAGTAATTTATCTTAAATGTTGTCGTAGTCGTTGAAATGGGGCTGAATATGCTGCCAAAAAGGATAAAATTGATGATATTCAGAGCTATGAAAAAGCTTGCTTGATTGTTGCTTGATGGTTGAAAATTATAAGTTATAATACAGTGGGAAAAGGACTCTGTAAATACTGCGGTTAGCTGATATGCCAACTAATTACAGTCACTATAACATGCCCCTTAAATAGTAGGTTAAGGTATAAAGCTATTTGAAACTATAAAATATATGAAATTCATGAATTCTCTAGTATTTTTACTCTCTAGTAGCTGCCAGTCCATAATTACTAATCTTCTTAAGAGACTATCTCTAACTTTTAGATATTAGACAGTGCTTTATTATTCTATACAGGTAATCTCTGTATTCCATGCAGGTGTTCTCTCTTTATAAAATCTCTCTCTTATACAGGGGTATCTCCACTTCATGCAGGCAATCTCTCTACTTCATACAGGTAAAATATCTCTACTCTTCACAGGTATAACTGATATAAGTATAAAAAGTGTATGTAGCTACTTTAGGAGGATTCAGCAGTCAGGATAATAATAATTTTAATAACTAGGATAGATATAGAATTATAGATATGTTGAAAGCCGCCATCTTGGCGGGAACGGAAGCATCAATAGCTTTAAAATGGATGGAAAGAATAATACAGTAGCTGTAGAGGCTCCGGGCTCATAACCTGTTGATTTGGGGATGAAAACGCGCCCGAAAGGATGAGATTGATGGTATTATCCTTAACTCAATGTCTGATGAAATCCTTCAAGCCGTGCCCCCATACAGCAATATTAAGGAGTTGTGGGATCATTTGATGTCTAAATACAGTGGCGCAGATAGAACACGCTCTATCCAAGGACTGAAAGCGGCTATCTCTACATACTATTCTGACTGCGAGAACGTGGAAGTAAGTCTACATCTCCAAAATTGAGCATGCCATACGTGAAATAACCTCCCGTCTCAGCGCCAACGAAGCTATTCCTGAGTGGTTCTACACCGACCTCCTACTTGCCAATCTAGGTACCGCCATGTGGGACACCTTTACCACGCTTGTTCTCAGCGAGCAGCGCAACATACCATTCAAGGAGCTCACCGCGCGTATGATAGAATTTGAGAAGCGCCAGGAGTATCAAGCGGCCGCTACAAATCTTGTAAAAGCTAAGAAGGGCAAGCAGCTTCAAAGAGACCGTCCAAACCACCTAAATCGCCCTATATGCGATCACCGCAACAGTAGTCACTCCCAATCCGAGCCCCGAGGCAAACGATCCGAATTAGAGTGGCATAACCGCACCGCAAAATCCTCACCGAACCGCCGCACCGACCCCGCAGCGGTGCGGGTTCGGGGGTAGAATCTGCATATTTTCAGATTATAGCAGCAAAACCACACCAAACCGCAAAAAACCGCGTGTCGGTTCGGTGGCTAGGTTTGGGAACCGAATCCGCAACAAGTTGGTTCCTACCCGCCCTGAATCCGCACCAAACCGCACCGAATGCCACTCTAATCCGAATGATCGGATTTGAACACCGTAGTATTTGCTCTGGAAAGAAGACTGAAGTCGCGCCACCAAGTCCTCTCGGACAATCTGTTCGTAATCCAGTGGCTTGGCCCAGTGGTAAAAGCTCAGAATCTCCGTGTGCAGCTTGGTGCCCATGTGCAAGGACAATTTCATCCCGCTGAGCCAGGGCGCGGCTGGCCTAGATGGACGAGCTCGTCAGTTATCTATCATCGACCCATCGCTATAGAACCTACTCACGGGGTTTCCGGTTTTCTTGGGTGAGCTCTTGATCTCATTATCGAGATATAGATCTCCCGCGCGGCCATAAAATCGCCCGGCCAAAAGGGTATCATAGACCAACTCTGATATGGTTGGTGTGAATAGTGCCTTATACATCACATTGAGTCTGAGTCCTGACTCTAGATATATGATATCTATAGTTGCTTAGTGTTCTTAGTCACGTTGAGCAAGTCTATAGCGTATGCATATACTAGGTCGAATACCCGGGATAGGATATTTCTTTGCAGTTTGAGCCCATTCGGCAAGGGATAATCCTTTATGGGACCTCTCGGTAGGTAGCTAGGGATAGCTAGGGGTTTTCAGCCATATCGCCAGTCCCCTGGAGGTATTGCATGTCCTCTTCCTAGTGGTATAGAGTATAGGTATAAGTAGCTTCTCCAGGGGTGCCGGCCGCGCTCGTTTCGACCGATTTGAAGGAGGAGACGTAGAGACGAGCAGCTGCGTGGTTGAAGGATGCAAATGAGGAGACATCCCCAGGCACGCTATATATACTACTGCTAGGTGCCGCACACCTAACAGGCATCCTCTAGTGGCTAGACTGCTTTTCCCTCCTCATCCACCAACCCGCCGAGAGAGATGAAGTCTTTGTTATCGGCCACGGCATCCGTTTTCGTTTGCTGTGACGCAGTCGCCACAATCCGCGCCTTGCGGATCAACTTGTGTTGAATATAAGTAGGAACAGACTGCCTTATCTGGCATGGATTTGCCGCAGACGGAGACCCAAAATGGAAGCCTAGGATGCAGTTTTAAGGCCCTGCCACTCGTCAGTTGGTGCGTTTGGTCTAGTGGTTAAGAATGAAAGTCCTGACAACTTGACAACGTCCACTTTCTTTGATTGGGTCTCGTGCAGGGGAGGCAGCGCCTTGTACGGGTCGTGCTTGACATGATGGGGATTGGAAGTGCTATGTTTTTGAAAAAAGGGTTGGTAGAACGTGGTGGTGAAGTTGTGAAAATGGGAAGTATCATGAAGAGAAAGAGAACGACGACAGGGAGGGAATCCAAACGGACTATTGTATCACCTTGGAATGGAGGACGATGGCTACAACAAGTCACCTACTACCTGGAAAAGGAAGGAAGAAGACCCAGCTGGGAAACCGCAGTGATTACATCTACATGGTTACCTACTTTAAAGGATGGTACGGTAACTTAGTAGGACAAGTCAGTATACGAGTGAATAAATCGCCCCATGAGATAGTTCTGTGGTCACTAAAAGCACTATTATTCTTCCTCTTGATCCTCTCCCTACCGTCGACGTCTCCTCCATGTCGGGAGGTTATGAGCAGGGTCTCAACAGCCTCTACAGGGTGGCTCTAGCCAAGAGGACCACTGGAAAGTTTGGTCATGATAAAGTCATATATGGGTCATTCGGCTACGCAATAACATTCAAACGGAGTTCTCAAACTATAAATATGCTATCACCACCCCTCCGTCTCTGAGCGAACCTTGAAATGCTCCATCAACAAATCCCGAAGCTAGCTCTCGATGAACAACAATGACGCGTTGGATTAGAAAGATCTTACGCTTTGTTAGACTATTCAAGGGGCGAAAGGGCTACGAGCGTCTATCACCCCGCGAGGAGCCGCCCTGGTCTCCGTTCCTGGAGTTGCCCCTTGATATTCTCCTACTTATCATACCATACTTACAGCTGGTGGACCAGGCCTGTCTTGCGCTCACCTGCAAGCCTCTCTACAGAAGACTGCGCTCTGTCCATGGCGATGAACAACTGGCCTGGCCAAGGTACCTGGCTAGCCCATTGCCCACATGCGAATTTGGCAGTCAATCGCACGATTCACGCAATGACCTCCTGCTCAAGCTGGAAGACACCCACTGGAGATTCTGCCGCGGCTGTCTCAAGCTTCACCCAAAAAACCACTTTACATATGCAGATATATGGCGCCCAGCCTCCGATCGATACTGCATCAATGACGTAGGTGTTGTTGATCTGTGCGCCTGCCTTGCCCTGACCTACGCAAATGGCATACGGCTGGTTGGTTGGATACAGACAGGAGTAGCAAGTCACGATCTTCACCGAAACATCTATCGGAAATTCCAACTCCGAGTGCTCAAGAATACACGGTTCCTTACCCACCGCTGTTCGGTGACAAGCGAACCTGACGCCTTCGTGGCCCTCACAACTACGGTGGCCCTCGGTCCAGACAACTGCCTGGTCGTCACGACCAGACACAACGTGTACTGGTCAACACCGCACCATCATCTAGGAGATTTCTCCAGCAACCGTGCTATCTATCGAGCGCCGCATAACATCGAGTCCATATTTGCCTGCCCGCACATACACGCCCTCGCTTGGCTCTACGGACAGTACTCACGTTTCCTAGTGCATGAAAAGAGATGCGGCATTTGCGATACAACACTCAACTTACTTCACTCTACTGGCGACGGCCGCCACTCTGTTATCCAGGCCGAGCGCAATTTGGGAATCATGTACAATAACCCGAGCAAGTATTGGGTGCAATCGGACTGTTCTCTAAGGTGGTGGAAGAGTTCCCGGCGCCCGGGAAATCCGATGGAGACGTTATGGTATGAATGGTCTCGGTGGCCCCTGAGGGCGAGATAGGAGAGATAGTACGCTCTCTAGGTACGCTGCTTTTTTTTTTTTTTTTTTTTTTTTTAATATGCTAGTATATACCACAAGTCAGTGCACCATCTCTAGCGAAACCGTACGAAGCCCAGCTTTGCACGGAAGGTTTCAAAAACAGGTGACCATCACGCCTCACACACTATACTACTAACCACTTGGGACCTTTTCAGAGTTACAAACCCTTGGACCAGATTACGAAACGATTGGTACACGCCCCATTACCGACGCATGCATACAGAAGCCGCATGTTTCGATACAGATGGTATGCAAAGTTTGACATCGAAGAAGCGTACTTTCACACACGGATCCGAGAGAGCGACATCTAGATGACAGTGTTCTGTTGTAATTTGGGCACATTCGAGTGCTACACGAATGTTCATTTGGACTACAGAATGTTATTTACAGCAAGCATTCTGAAGTCCTGGTCTTAGACACAGGAAAGCCTCGGGTGCTGCGACCAGCAGGATGACTCTGCCATCACTACATTGAAAAAACCAGGACCTTAGATGAAAAAAAAAGCTTGGATTGTATTGATTATGCAGTTCTTCTCAAGATCCAACAGAACCTCGCAGAGACTTACATCATTCTATATGGGTTTTCCACCGCCCCTGGCCGGGGACGCGCACGCCAGCATCCTCGACACCATCATCACTACCAACTACGAGTACGCGCAGCAAAGGGCCCATTTATATGAGATATCTGACTCATCCCCCGTTCACAATTGACTATCGTTATTTTACCTGCTCTAATATTTCTATATGCCGCAGTATTGGATATATTATGGGAGGGTACTCACAGAGCGCAAAAGTATCTAGATATCTTTTGTGGCCGACTGGTATTCTTTGCAACACTACCAATTGCTAGGACCCTAGGCAGCACTGGGCTATCAAACTCCCCTAGTCCTATCCTATCCTACAGCAACTACTATGAAAAGGGTAGCTCTCCTGTGGGATGAACCGTAGGAGATGACTGAACAGGGGGCCAACATCACGTAGGAGCTGTCTGGTCTTGAAGACTTATATTATGATACTCTGGTTTCTGCTTTTGTTTCGTGGCCGAGTCGTGATTCTTTGCAATATTCTTGTATTGTTAGTGGACAGCCTCAAGAATCGGGCAATGCTCTCAAGCCATACCGGCTGAGAAACCAACCGGCTTACCAGATAACTAGAGGAAGACAAGGAAAGCACACATAGATACTGATACTAGAGTAGCAGTGTAGTAGTAATAACAATGGAAAAGAAAGAAGTAGTATGAAGTAATATGAAAATAAACCCAACGCCACTCGTCCAAACGCAAATGGCAAATAAGATTCAACCCACCCGCCATAACTCCGTCGATGCTGGAAAGTCTCGCAGTCCCTGTTTTCTGATTTTGTTCTTGTTCTTCTTCTCCCCCCCCCCCCCTTTTCTTTTGTGTATCGATTCTCCTTCATGAACCCTCGGTTTCCATATACATGTACAAAAGCGTAGCCAAGATTACTAAGGTGCAGGAATATTAACACTAGAATCCAAACCCACCGCCGCCGTAAGGTGTAGCTCCGTAGGGAGTGGCGGCGCTGGCGCCCCATGCGCTTGCGGCGCCGCCGTTCGCATAGGCGGTGAACCCGCCGTCCATGCCCTCGGGGGCTCGTAGGCGTCAGGGCTGCGCATGCCCATCATGTCGTCTTCGTCGGCGCCCATAACGCCGTTGGCGTCTGCGCCGTCGACGCCGCCTGTGCCGGAGAGGGAGGAGATGACGGAGGCGAACTTGCGCTGCAGGACGACGATGCCCTGCTGGATGATCATGTCCGGGTCGAGGTTGCCGATGCTTTCGACGTCGAAGTAGAAGTTGTTGGGTTGGGCGTCGTAGTCGAAGGGCTGGTCTGGGGGCGCGGGCTGTTCCCACGCGGCGTTTTGGGAGATGGGCCTGGTGGAATTAGTTGGTGGTATGCACGGGGGAAATCTGTGTGGTACAGAAGGCGACCAAGAGAAAAAGGAGAAGGAGAATAGTGAGAAAGCGCATAGAAAAGAAAACATACCACTCCTTGGCAGGATCCTCCTCATACCAATAATCCACATGCTTTAGATTATTGTAAGGATCGTACTCGAACCCAATAGCCGCAGTCGGAGCCCACTTCGAATGCTCCTTGGCAATCCCCTTCTTCGCAATACAAGTCATCTTGAGCTCCTGGCCGCGCCGCAGCTTACAGATCAACGACCCCTTCGCCTCGGGATCCGTGAGCACCGGGCTGCCCACCCACTCGTTCGCCCGCTCGCCACTGATGACCAGATCGCGCGCGTAGACAGGCATGATCTCGTCGCCCGTGCAGCGCGCATGAAGCAGCAGCGTGACGCTGCACCGCGCGCAGTGGTCCTCGCACTCGCAGTCGCGCGTGTACTCGACGTCCTGGTCGCAGTTTTTCGAGTTAAGCGGGGTCAGACCCAAACGGTGGGCGAGGAATTCGTCCGGCAGCACCGAGGAGTTCTTTTCTACCTCCACCAGGTCGATGGCCATTGTGGGGATCTCGGCGAGCATCGTGCGCCGCAGCGAGTTGGCGAAGGCGAGGTCGACGGAGGTGAGCTTGAAGTCTACTCGGTATGGTTCGGCCTGTGTCGGTTTACAGTTAGGCTTTGTTTCCCCGGCCCTTTCAGGGGCTTGGGCTTGTCAAGACTGCAAAGCTCTCACCTCTCGCACTGTCACCTGGGGCCCGGTGGGCTCGATGTCCATTTCATAATCCATGCTGCTGGCGATCGCAGCGCGGCTGCCAACGGAGTTTGCGGGGGATCAGTGGGAGAGAAAAAGAGAATGTTGGCGCAAGGTGCGATTGGAGTTGCAGAGAGGGTGGTTGTTGAGAATGGTTTGGAGAATGGTGGAGATGGTGAGGGAATGATGATGAGGGTGAGTTTCTTCCGCCCCGAAGGCTGCTGGCCCGCGCTTTGCCCGATTGGGCGGTGAGCGTTTTCTATATCGCGCAACGGGCAATTCCTCCATCTCATCCACTGATAGACACAACCATAGCAACAGTATTTATAGCGATATTAGACATGATCTTATATTATCTATATACTATGTCACCATTCTCACGCTATATACCAAATATACGTCCCAGGAGTATACAAGTCCGTATACAACGCACCAGTCTACACCGCTCAAGCTACATTTCTACATCTACAGTATACGGCGCGAAGCTGATAACACCGGCGTAACCCAGAGGGATACAATAGAGGAAGAAGACGACACGGACTGTGTCTTTTGGATCTCACTTCTTCGTTTTTGCCCTGCCTGGTCCAGGCAGATTCAACCTCCTAGGCAAATGGTGGATGAGTAAAAGGCTCGCCACGCAGGTCAACCAAAGCAGTCTTGGACCAAGGTCCAGGAAATGACGACGTGCATCAATACGGGCGGACTGTCGCACAAAGAGATCAAGCTGAACCTCCGTCGAGCAAGACTAATTTGTCCTTCAAGGGGCGAGAGGGTGGGAGATATGAAAGGAAGCCAACGGAAAATGGGATGGGAGAAAAGGAAAAAAAAAAGGGTAAAAAAATGGATGAACCAGGATTGGTATCCCAAAGCCAAACACCCTCTCCGATAGATAAGATAAGACCAGAGACCTCAAGAACTTTTCTCATCCATCGGCCCCGGTCCTGCCTGGCCGGCCCATTCTAACCTCTATATTCACGGATCGTCATGGAATCTATACTGGTGAGTGCGCGATCGGATGTCGTGCGCAAAGCCATCAAAGCCACCATGGTGCGAGCGAGCGAATCAACAATATAACTCCGAAACAATGTAGCCGATCCGAACGAGAAAGGGGAGATAAATGCAGAGAGATCAGGTAGATAAAAGTGAAATGTCCGGATTTCCTTTTGCAGAGGAAGGATCATAGTAAATCGTGAAGGGAAACAGAAAAAAACCACGGGAGGTAAATCATCCCCGATCGGTATTTTTTTTTTTCTCCTTTCTGTTTTTCTCTTTTTTTGTTTTTGTCGTTGTTGTTCTGTCTGTCTTGTCGCTCTTCAACTCCGTATGGAGTAAGAGGACAGACAGGAGGCCATCGCTACCTCCGCAGGGAGCTGCGATTTAACGCCTCCAATAATTCCGGACGACTGGCAAGCGAGGCAGCGGCTTGGGCATATGGAACCCACTGCCGTTTTCGCTTGTGCATCTCAGGCCACTGCTCCTCTTCCCGCTCGACCGCGACCTCGAAAAAGTGATACGAGGCCTTCGGGGCAGTGGCCGTCAGAAGATTCGACGGCCGCATGTCTGGGATCATCCCCAGATCTCGCTGCACGGCGCAGATTACCCCGGCTTCTTCCCAGGCCTCCCGACAGGCGGCCTGCGAGGCATTTGCCTCGTCAGTCTCCCAACCCCCTTTAGGGAGCACCCAACCGCCTCGTCCCGCAGACTGGATCATCAGGACCCGAGTCTTGTCCGCTGACAGGGGGACTACCCCTGCGACGAGCCTTTCGCCTTTTGATCCGTACCCTAGGGATGAGGATACGGATTAGCATGTCTGCGTAATGCAAAGGCGAGGGGGGGTGAAGGGAAATGGGCGGATGAAAAAGGAGTGAGGTGGGCGCAAGCGGTCTGTCTGCCTCCAGGGATCACCACTCACGTTGGTTTTTCCGTCCTACTCGGGACTCCATTGAGCGAGATTGGTCGATCATCTTGGACCACAAGAAATGAAAAAAAAAGGGAAAAGAATAAAAATAAGAATAGGAGAAGAGAGGATGGGTCGAGGGTCGACGCGGGTGTATAGCGCTAACCGTTCCTCCCACGCGACAGTTTGAAAGGAATGGATATAGACCCTATGGAGGAGGAATCAAGAAATGAAAAGAAAAGGCCAATGCCAGGAGTCCTGAGTCCCAAGATCGACTGGAATATATAGATCAACGGAGAAAAGTGAAGTCACAAGAGGGCCAGCCTGGAATTCAAGATAGCTTGGGCTCACGGCCTGACAACCCTAATTTTTTTTTTTCTCTGGGCGATAGGGCGGGGACCACGAAGAAATTATGACGGGTTTGGTCTCTAATAAAAAAATATAAGAGTTGAAGCAGCGAAACTCGAAGAAGAGGTCAATACTAGGTATTCCCGTTCACTCCCGTAGCGGACGGGAACCTCGAAGGCGATGAGTACGAACAAGAAGCAGACATCGTAATTCAAAAGGGTAAGGGTAAGATGGTAGAAATAGGAGAGAGAAAATGGAAAGAAATGGGAAACGGATAGAGAGAGACGGAGAGAGAAGAGGGGCGGCGACGAGGACGGATGGGGCAGTTCGGGTTCTGTAAGTAACGTGTAAGTTTACACGAAGTGATGATACTGGAGATGACCAGTGGGTTTTACCGAGACGGTATCATTTCTTGGTCTTGTCCTGTCTTGTCCTGTCATATCGTGATCATTTCAATGTATTCATCCCTCTCTCTCTCTCTCTCTTTCTTTCTTTCTTTCTTTCTTACAACTCTCTTTTTTCTTTTTCTTTTTACCTTATTCTTTACCTAGACCCTATTCGTCTCTCTCTGACTGGGATCTGACCCCTTTCCCCTTTCCAGCTCTTTGGACGAGGTGCATGTAGACTACGAGCAAACATACATCCAACCGTTGCGGTGCATACATGCCTAGGCCACTTGGAGTCTGGACTCCACGTCCTGCTGGTCACAGCAATAATTCCACGGAAGAAAACAAATTGATGAAGATACTGAATGAGGATGACGGAATCATATGAAAAAGAGGAGGTTCAATAGTGCACACTGATCCAGCGCCGTCGCACAGCAGGGAAGCTCTGCCAGGAACTCTCTCTCCTCTCGACGGGGTTACACTGCCTACATCTCACATCTAGGGTTGGGGACTTTTGCTGTCCTGTCCAATGTAAAAATAGATTCGAATCACCCTGGGCTGGTCTCACGATACAGATATACTATAGCTTGATTAAGCTAGACGCCCTGGGATACTGTGCAAGCCGCAGAGGCCGGTGAGTGCCGGTCTTGTTTCTTTCGTGACCACATTCTTTCCCCCTTTTTTTTTTTTTTCATTTCCTTCGAGGTATGATGTATGATGCTTGTTTATTTTGTGTTATTATATCCGTTTTTGGAAGATGGTTCTGTTACATAGGTGTATAATTTCATGTTCCATATTTCCAACTAAGGACCAAGCGAAAGGAAACACGAAAATAAAGGACAGCCAAATTTGGGTTTGATCCACCGGGGAACCAACTCTTGGGCTGTTACTCCCATCCGCTGTATCTACAAATCGAATCAACAAGGACACATGTCCCCTCCGAGTCTCCCACGAGATCTATCTGCAAAAGGGTGAAGGATGACCTGGGATGACGATCTGGGACATGACTACGTGTTGATCTCCCCAGAGGCGGTTTCGTCAGTCTGCTGAAGTGCTTCCCCCCCGCTTGCTCACAGACAGTCTATGGATTGGATACCGTGACATGCAAAGTTGCCCTGCATCTGCTAGGCATTCCTCCTCACCGAAGGCCTCACTGAAGGCATTTGCCTCTCCTCGCCCAAGCATCTAGATGACGCTTCGTGTCGTTGGCAAAATGAGAGGGTTGGTCCCAACGGATGCGGGGCAGCACTACCGCCACGAAATCTCCGATCAGCACTGAGTTGTTTCAAAGATATGATCATATCCTATTTATAATCAAACGGCACCAATACGCATTAGCATAAATAAAATCAAAACCAGCATAATTAATGAATGAGGGAAGAGAAGGGGAAGAAAAGTAGATGGACAGATCACGGTGGCGTCGTCTCGATGCGTCATTAATGGTCATTATTGCCATGGATACTCGACTGCAGTTGGGGAGGAGATGGACGTTGTGAACCATGCAGTCGATCAGGCCATCCTTCGTGACAGAAAAGGGAGAGATACTCAGGTAATGGCTGACAGACCCTGGAACCGCCCCTGATGGCGATTGGATCGGGACGCGACAACGCAGCAGCGATCTGTAGTTGCGGATCTCGAGATCCTGGCGGTCTATACTCCCTACCTTGCCTTGACTATGGTCTGGAGTACGGAGGACTCCGTAGTAGTCGACAGATAATGTGGATAATATGGTATATCCATCGATTATAGGACCGTGATCCATCTTATGCACCTTCTAGCCTCCGAGTGTCTATAGTCTATGATACCCTCGGAGTACGGATTGATTTGTCCAGGTACGGGATCTGGTCACGGCGGTGTATCTGTCCCTGTCCCTTGTCCCTGGTCCGGTATTGATACGGTCACGGAGAGATCCATACCTGACAATACAGACCGTCTGACTGGGTGCCTCAGGTGTCCCTGCACGAGGTTCTGTTTTCAGTCACAGATACTTCTTCTTCTTGGGTCTGTGGGGTTTTTTACAGTGTTGAACTAGATTGGATATTGATAGACCCTGACTGGGTTTCTGCACTCTCCACTCATCCAGTGTGGTCGGGTATGACGGTGTCTATACCGGTCGACCATTTCTATATGGACCACCAACCAACCAGTAAAGACCAGCATGCAAGTCAGAAGAACCTGCGGGGTCTCCTTCTAGAAGCATTGGAATAGAACGATGGTCCCTTCACCTCCCACAGATTGCAAGTTGAATTGATACCCAACATCTCGTCCACGTCCATTGTTAGGATCTTGGGTGTATGTTGATACCTATTCCCTCCTCATCTGTGGCATGTCCGTCATCTTCTAACCTTCCCCACAAAAAAGCACCCAGTTATTTTTCTGCCAACTGATCCCCTCTCTTCCCCAATCAGAGTCGGGTCGTCATTGTGCTGTTGAAACCCACGCAGAGAGGCAGATCTCCTCGGCCGAAACTCCCCCATTCCCGCTTTTTTGTCTCATTTCTGTCTCGCCTTCTCCGGTGTCGGGTTTTGTGAGGTTCGATTTCTCTACTTTCCCGCCTTGAGCGCCGACGAAGGGGGGGTGTTCAGACGTCATGGATCCTGCCGTTGATGCTGAACGGGCGCGCCAACTGTCGCTCTTCCGTCCTCTAGGTGAGTAGTAGCCAGTCAGAGGGACATGTCCTTGCCCGTGTCAGCTTCGTTGGATCTCAAGCCGTCGTGCTATCCAGTTCCCCTCCCTGCTACCTTACCCAATACGGGTCCCTAGGTACCTATAGGTCACTATATACCTATAGGTACGGTAGATACTCGGAAGGACTCAATTTCACTGCCCTCACTGCCCTCATTGCCCCTCTTCCATCGCCTAATCAATCAACCGGCTACATGCATCCTACTGTAGATGACGATCTCTGGTGACTAACTGCCCCGCCTCTCCTACAGGATACCAGCGCAGCTCGTGCGGTTATTGTAAATCAGACAATGGCAGTGAGTTTGGCGTCTTCCAGCCTACTCCACCTACCCTCGGTGGGGGGATATCTGCATCACTGACGGGGAATCATCCAGGTGCTTCCTACTACACGAGCTCGGTATCCGTTCGCCCCGCTCATTACGAGGAGCTTGTTGACCGTGGTTGGAGAAGGTGAGACTTGTCCATTGATTTTTATTCACTGGTTTATTTGTTTATTTCTATCTTATTCTATTATCTATTCTTTTGGGAGTTTCCTCCGGAACTACCTCTGCACCCAGTCCAGTCACACAGCGCTAATCCACCTAGATCGGGGACGCTCTACTATAAGCCGAATTTACAGCGATCATGCTGTCCTCATTACACGATGAGGTGCGTCCATTCCCCATGAGGATTGTCCCCTTCTGAGCTAAGCCGGCTCGATTGGCAGGCTGGAAGCCTCCGCTTTCAAACCTCGGAGGGACCAACGTAAGGCCGTCAATCGCTGGAACAAGTTCATCCTGGGCCCGGAGTATATCCGTCGTGCGGCATACCTGTGCCCCAAGACACGAGAGTAAGTGGCCCCAGCCATGTCCGTACAACCGTAATCTCACCACCCTGGGACATAGGGAAAAGAAGCAGCGTCGGGATACATTCGACCTAGCGGACGCCGTCCACCAGGCGGAATACGACCGGGTCAAGCGTCCCATTGACCCCAAGACCAAGAAGCCCCTGGAGCCCGCGCACCGCTTCGAGGTCAACCTCGAAGGCGACTCCATCTCCCAGGCCAAGTCGGTCCCCTCCCCAAGTCTCGATCCAATAGCCCTACTAACCAATGTCAGATTTGAGCTGTTCCTCAAATACCAGACCACCGTCCACAAAGAGGACGTCTCCAAATGGCAGACCAAGGACTTCAAGCGGTTCCTCTGCTCGGGCATCACGCGATCCCCGGCTAACGCGGCCCGATCCGACGAGCAGAAACTCGGCTCGTGGCATCAGTGCTATCGGCTCGACGGCAAGCTCATTGCCGTCGCCGTTCTGGACTTGATGCCCCACGGCGTGAGCTCGGTCTACATCTTGTACGTTCCTCTTCTTTCTCCGTTGTATACGGGGTCTAACCGGCGCAGCTACGACCCGGCATATGAAGCGTGGGAATTCGGCAAGCTCTCCGCGATGCGGGAGATTGCTATGGCAGCGGAGGAGAAGTACCAGTATTACTACATGGGTGGGTTCACATAGAGGAATCAGCAGAAGCAGAAGACTAACAGCCATGCCATCCAGGATACTACATCCACTCCTGCCAGAAAATGCGCTACAAGGGGACATTCCGCCCCCAGTACATCCTAGGTATACCCCCAACATTTCTTCCCACAACACAACTTCCTTTCATCCGCTCATACCTACAACCAAAACAGACCCAGAATCCTACACCTGGGACCCACTAGACGGCGAACTCGCCCAGAAACTCGACAAGCGCGCCTACGTTTCCCTATCGGGTGATCGAGCGCGCAGCAGTAATGGGACGACAACAACAACCGGCGAGACCGACACCGCCGCCGACGCGGAAATCAACGACGAGGAGGTGTCCCTCTTCGACGTGCACATGCCAGGTGTCCTCACTTTGGATGAGATGCCCACGATTGATCTCGATAACTGGTTATTGCTTGTTCATGGCACGTTTGTGCATATGAATGTAGGATTCTTTCTCCCTCCTTTTATCTTATTCTCTAACATTCACATACACCCCCCTCCCAATGATTATATCTCGCTTCAATCTATACCAAAAATAAGAATAGCTAGCTAATGATGAAATCATACAGGACCTCAGAGGATGGGAATCAATGCCCATGGATAACCCCCAGTCCGTCAAGGGAATCATAGCCGAGCTGGCGGCTGTGTTGGGGCCTGCGGTTGTGGCGAATAGCGCGGTGGTTTTGTTTGATTGATTTGTTTATTTACCCGTTCTATATATTTATCAAAGATGCTCTGTTTATAGAATATAGGAGAGTGGAGATAGGAAGAAATGATGAGGATCAAGTGTTGTGTTTTTTGTTTGACTGAGAGTCGCGTGCACGTATATATTTGTGGGAATTGTATCAACGGTATTAGACAGACGTAGTATATCCCCAACTCCAGAAAATGTAATGCAGTCCAGTATGCCAATGCAAGACTGAAAAAAGAAGCAAAAGATAATGAGAGGAAACAAACAACTAATTCATGCATGCCATTCCAGACAAGTTGAACAGACATCACAAATAAGCAGAAAATAGTAAACATAAAACGCTGAACCAACCAATTCAAACCAGACTCCTTGATAAATCAAAACACGGTTGAAAGACAGACAAATCGTATATAGAACAGGGTAAAAGAAGTTCACTCCATCAATTCAACCGGCGGACGCGACGTCTTCGGCGGCCTCTGCTGTACAGGTCCGCCCATCTCGACGGGACTCATCTCGATGTCTGTATCATCGGGGGACAACACCACGGCAGGGACGGTCGTATCCTCGACCATAACGGCGGGCAGATGGGGACTGCTGCCGTGGTCTTGGGGGTGGTAGATGAGGATGCTTCCGGAGCGGGAGCGAGCGTGGGCGCTCATGTCTGCGGGCCACGAGCCTGTGCGCTTTGAGTCGGAGGTCATGGACATGGGGGTGTCTGGGTCGAGGGGCGCCGCTGCGTCTTGCTGGGGGTAGTATTGCGGTTGCGATTGTTGCGGCTGTTGGTGTTGGTATTGTTGGGTTTCGAGCTGCGCGAGGGCAGAGGCGAGGTCGCTGGCGTGGACTTCCTTGTTGGGGGGGTCCTCGGTGCGCATGACCCAGCCGTGGGGCGGGCTGGGCGGGGGGCTGATGAAGAAGAGCTTGTCGAGTTGGGGGGCTTCGAGGAGCTTGGGGCGGTTGTTGTCGCCGTCTTGGAGGAGGGGGGTGGGTTCGCCGAAGTAGACTTTGGGTTTGAGGTGTGTTGTTTGGGCGCTGACGCTTGTGGTTAGGGTCAGGGGGGTCGACTCGAGGTGTTTGCGCACGAGGATGGCGGAGTCGGTGCTTGTGAAGGAGCAGATGATGCGGCGGAGGGAGGGGAGCGGGGAGAAGGAGTTGAGCGGCGCGAGGGTGTTGAGGAGTGTGCGGATTTCGGCGAGGGTGGTGGGTTGGAAGTAGGTGAGGTTTTGGAGGTCGGTGAGGAGGAGGGTGTTGGTTGGGGTGACGGGGGTTGTTAGGGGAGGGAGGTTGTTCATGTCGAGGGAGAGAGATGGTCGATGCATTGTTGCTGCCATGTTGCTGAACAAGTGATGCTTTTTTGTGATTTTGGTGGTTGATGGATTTTTGTTGATTGTTGACTTGGGTGGTTGTAGAGGAGAAGATAGAGAGGCGGAGGGCGGAAGATATAGAGATAGAGATAGGAGAAGCGGGGAAGAGTTGAGTCAGGAGAAGATTCGCCACAGATCAATGGTCAATATTCCCTCTTAATGTATCTTGTCTTGTGATGATGATTCTAGCTATTATTGGTCTTTCCCAACAGCGAGCCCTCTTTTATAAAGTCTGATCTAGAACAGACCAAGCCTTGGAGGTGATGCAAGACGCAACCATCCACCCATCCATCGTGCTGCGCCTCGCCAAGCACGCACTGCCCCCAACTTTCCTCCTTCCTCCTCGGTATATCCTACACGCTATGTCCTAAACAGTGCTGAGAAAGTGGATTCTCCGGCTCTGTCGATCCACCTTGTTTTACTTTCCCTGCACTTTTTGCTCGTTTTTTGCGGTCTTTTGGTTGCCACGATCTCCACTGTGGCTGGTGCTTTGCCACGGTGATGGGATGTGGCTGGTGGTAATACGTCTCAATACAGCATAATTACAGGCAATACAGGGATCCGACGGCTGTCTCGGCCCCCGAATGGTAACGGAGTGACCCGATCATGCTGCTCAGATTAATTTCTTGTGTGGAGTATCAAGGAGAATTGCTTCATTGTCAGGGAACATGCTTGAATTCGTCTACCTAGTGACACCCCGAGCATAAGTCTCAGTTGGTGGAAAACATCTGCCTGGCTTCGCCTTCCATCTGCAACCGAACACAGCCAGCCTATCCATCTCCGGTCGCAGAATCCTGCTTCCATCCGTGGCTTGGCCCATCGCCTTGTGATGTGATCTATCCGGACAGCACCGCAGCATCAACGATCCTATTGTTTTGAAAAATAAGGCTTAGAAACTTGACATGGCTCGGTAGCGATCCGACACAGCCCGCTTTGTCGCCTCGATCTCAGGCGCGTACACCTCAAAGGCATGCGGCAGCCCCGGGTACACGTGTAACTCGACACTGATGTTGGCCGCCGCAATGCGCCCCGCATAGGCGATGTCCTCGTCGCGGAAGATGTCCAGCTCCCCGGTGTCGATGTACGTCGGCGGTAGACCCTCGACACTGGCGGCCCGCGCGGGCGCCGCGTACGGCGACGCCTTGTCCGTGCCGATGGTATCCTTGCCGAGCAGCGCGGTCCACGCCGTGATATTGTCGGCGCAGTTCCAGAACGCCAGGGGTTCCAAGGCTGCGATCGGTGTCGTGTTCCGGTCATCCAACATAGGGTAGATCAGGATCTGCTTCGCCAGCGGCGGTGACAGCTGACGGTCGCGCGCCAACAGCGCCAGTCCCGCCGCCAGCATCCCACCCGCGCTCTCGCCCATCGTCGCAATTCGACTGCGGTCCACCCCGAAGTCGTCTGCGTGCTCGTGCAGCCAGGTCAGCCCCGCGTATGAGTCCTCTACGGGCGTCGGGTGCGGGTGCTCTGGCGCCAGCCGATAGTCCACCGAGAACACCTGCACCCCCGTGTGCTGCACCTCCAGCGACAGCATCTTGCGGAACAGCGCCACGTCGCCCTGGATCGTGCCGCCGCCGTGCGTGTGTAGGACAGCCGGTCCCGGGGTGGTTGTGGGTGCATTCTTCTTGAAGAAGCGGTAGACCGAGATGGTCTGTCCGTCATACGAGGGGATCTGGTATACTGTGTGCTCTATCTCGGGAGCCTCGGGCAGCTTCTCGAACTCGGCTTCGTAGGAGGCGGTGATGTCCGTCCGACGGCCTAACACGTCGTGCACCGCCCGTCCAGGGTTCTTGGCTCTGCGCTCGAGAACTTCGCGCGTGGCGTGGACGAAATCGGGGTCATAACTGAGAGGCATGTTGGGCTTGGGAAATGGGCAATGCTCGAACAGCAATTCACGGCGCAACCAGCGATGTACTCGGTGAATATGTGTCTGTGAGTCTGGCGGGAATAGAGTGCTGAGCCCTGATCACCCCGGGGAGGGGGTATAGTGGGGAAGAAGGGAATCATTCCTCAATACGGAATGGATCAGTTCTCTCATGGGGGGTAGTGGAGTCGGCAGACGTAACGTGGCTTGGGCGCGGAGGCTTCGCTCTTCGAGTACATTCTGTAAAGACCTGCCCTCGTCGGATCCAACTACGATGCATCTCCATCAATCCGAATCCATTGACAAGAGAAGCCTGAGAAGCACATGGAATAAAACGCCGAGAAACTGTTAGTCAATACTGGATCTTGTGACGTAATGCCTAGATTCCTTACGTAACTATCCCATGCATATCCCCGGCCCGACCGCCTCCGAAGGCGGTCAGCGGGTCAGGTGACGTGGTAGCAGCGAAACTTCTGTTTTTCTGACCGGCGACCGATTCCTCTCCAACAGCTTTCCTTCGCTTTCCCTCGTCACTGTCGCCCGTTTTTCACATCTCCTCCCTGCCATTGTCCATCATATCTTCCTCTATCCCCTTCAAAATGTTCCAAAGAACCTTCCTGAGACAGGCCCAGGCCGCCCGGTCCGTCCTTTCCGTCCGTTCTTCCGCCTCGACGCTCCGTCGCACGTCACAGTTGCAGCCGCAGCTCCCGGCTTTCCGTCCGCTCGCCCGTCAGCCTGCCTACCGTTTCTACTCGACAGAGAACAAGGCCGAGAACGGCAAGGAGGAGCAGAAGGAGGGCGAGGGAGAGTCCGATCCTCTGCGCGCGGAGCTCGAAAAGAAGGAGAAGGAGGTTGTTGAGTTGAAGGTATGCTTTGAACTGACTCTATGTGACACCAGTCTCATATACTAACTCGATGCAAAGGACAAATATGTCCGCTCCGTGGCCGACTTCCTCAACCTCCAGGAGCGCACCAAGCGCGACATGGACAGCGCCCGCAACTTCGCCATCCAGCGTTTCTCGATTGACCTGCTGGAGAGCATTGACAACTTCGACCGCGCCCTGCTCGCCGTGCCGGCCGATAAGCTCAGCGCCGCGGCTACCGAGTCCAACAAGGACCTGCTGGACCTGGTCGACGGCCTCAAGATGACTCAGAACATCCTGATGAACACCCTGCAGAAGCACGGCCTCCAGCGCTTCGACCCCAGCGCCCCGACCGAGGAGGGCAAGACCCAGAAGTTCGACCCCAACCTGCACGAGGCCACCTTCATGGCCAAGGCCGAGGGCAAGGAGGACGGCGATATCATGTACACCCAGAGCAAGGGCTTCATGCTGAACGGCCGTGTCATCCGCGTACGTTCTTGAAACCTGTCTACCTACTGTACCCGTGCTAATTGTTTTTCTCTAGGCTGCCAAGGTCGGCGTTGTCAACAACAACTAAACCCAATGACCATCTCCCATCATACTCGACACCTCAACCCCCCTTCTTCACACCCTCTGTATAATATACCAGATCCACCGCCATGACGGGCATCAATTGGCCCACCTACCCTATCCTATCCTATCTCTCTCCCCCTATCTATGATGCATGTGTATGATACACCTCTATTATGTGTTGATCACTATTATTGTCCGCGAATGGAGGCGTCCGGCTGTCCTTTCGCATACCTTTTTTTCTTTCCGGTCTTTTGGCGTTTTAACCTCCCTCCTCCCTACTCTGTATAATACACAATGATCCTGTGTTCTTGGTAATGTCTTGCTCTCTGTATTTCTTAAAACAAAAAGTGTTGGTGTTCGTTGGAGCTTGACTTGGTTGTGGTATGTATGTATGCATGTATGCATGTGATCATGCACTTTGCATGACTTGGATCAATTCTATCATATGTTTGGATCTGGCAGTCTTTTGACCTACCATACATTTAATCACCTACCATATGTTTGATCAAACTGCACTGGGCAGCTTACGCGTTAATGTTAAGTTTGAGTTGGATAGAATCCAATTTGTACAGGTACAATACAGGCCTAGTATACAGTATGATCAACCATCCGTCATCCATCCAATCGACATCCTAATCATGCCATTCCACATCCATTCCACATCCATTCCCATCCCACCCTATACCCCGAGAAATATTTCAGAAAATAAGTAGTAATAGCCAAGCGATGGTAACAGTAAATCAATCACCGCAACTCAACCCCCAACAACCCCACCAACTTCTCCCTCACAAGATCATGCATCTCATTCGCCTCCTCATTCGTCAGCGTGCGCTCCAAGCTCCGATAATTAATCCGGTAGCAAAGACTCTTGCGGCTCGTCTTCGGATGCACGAACTCATCAATCAGCTGCACGTCCTCGACGAGATCCCCGCCCACCCCGCGCACAATCTCCATGATGTCGTTCTCGTGTACGGGGCCCGCCCCGCCTGCTGCGCTGCGGCCGCCTCCGGGAACCCAGAACGCCACGTCCTTGTAGCAGGCTGGGTGTTTGGAGAAGGGCTCGAAGCGGGTGACTTCGCCTGCGCGGAACTGCGAGAGGAAGCGCGAGTCGCGCGACCAGAAGAGCCGGATGTCGGGGATGTTAAAGAGGAGCATGGCGATGCGTTCGAGGCCCAGTCCGAAGGCCCAGCCGATGCGGTCCGGGACGGAGGAGTTCACGAGTAGCTCTTGCTTGATTACGCCGCAGCCGAGGACTTCCAGCCAGTCGCCTTGCCAGAAGATCTCGAGTTCCCAGCCGGGGCTGGTGAATGGGAAGTAGGCTTCGACCCAGCGGACGCGCAGGGGCTCTTCTTCGGTGGGTTCGGTGGTTTGGGTGGAGGCGGCGGCGCGGGCCTTGGCTTTGTTGGCTTCGCTGAAGATCTTGATGACCATGCGCTCGAGGGAGCGCTTGAGGTGCGCGGCTACGGCTTCGACTTCCTCGGGGCTGTGGTGCTCTGTTTGGAGGGGGTTGCGCTGCGGGTGCGTGGTGGGGTTGTCGTCTTCGACGGGGACGCCGTGGGCCGGGATGCGGCGGACGTCGTCCCAGATGGTGGACGCGGTCTGGGTCGCGTGCTGCAGGGGTTCTGTCGCGGGCCGCTTCCACAGCATGGCGCCCTCCATCTGGTGGAACACCGGGTAGTGGCTGCGGTCGATGGCGTCGCGGCGGTAGACGTCCGCGACGACGGTGTAGCCGACTTCTTCGGGGCGGGAGTGCTCATTGCGGCTGATCTGCTGGAAGTAGGCTTGTTGGTGCGCGCTTGTGTGCGTGCGCAGCACCGTCTCCTTGTTGATGTAGTAGGTGTCTGTGCGGCTGCGGCCTGGGTGGTCCGCGGGGAAGCCGAGCACGTCGAAGTTTTGGGCTGTCGTTACGACGGGGTTCTTCTCGCTGTAGTTGCCGAAGACAGGGCCCGCGAACTGGCTCTCGATGAGCTGCCGGGTGATCGCCAGCGGGTGGTTCTCGTCGAGGTACAGGCGGCGGCCGACGTGGGAGAGGATCGTCTCGGGGGTGTTGGTCCATTCGTCTGCCGGGTAGAGCTTTCCGTCGATGGTCAGTGGTTTTTGCGTGCCTTTTGAGCTGCTTATCGTGGCGGAGGGTGTCTTTTCGTTTGCGAGGGACCGGGTTGAGCTCCAGTCGCGGCGGGGGACTGCGAGCACGCTGCGGGTGGGCAGCATCGGGATGCGGAGGTTTCGGTGCGCGGGCGCAAGGCTCCAGCGGCCGCTGTGGGCACGCAGGGCCCGTCCCGTGGCGAAGAGGCGCATCCTGAGGGAATTGGCCTCAAGGATAGGCTAATTGGTGAGTATAGGGCTGGGAATGGATGGCTGGGAGGAGAGTGGCATGACTGGGAGGAAAGTTGAATCTATCCCAAAACAACCCGGCTCGGAGAAACAAGTCGCCGCTGGTATACAAACATTGATATTCAGTCAGTGTGATCTACGTCGATTCTAGAATCCCTCTCTGGAAGAATTATAGCTGTGTCGAATGTCTCAACGGATCTACTCTTGGCTTGTCTTGGTATCTTTTACCATCCGTCATAGTACGGCCTTCTACAACTCGCCCAGACATCGAAACAAGCCATCTATCTCGATCATGTAGTGCACAATATCGCCACTGTCGTCTCCGGCGCAAATAGCAATAGACAAGATACCCAGAACATCAGCAATTACGCGATGATAACCAGCATGCTCGAAATGATATAGTCATTAACACCGGGTTATGAAAAGTCATGGCAGGATGCAGATTTGGCCAATCTACAGGTTTCCATGACTAACTGTCCATAAGACTGACGTGGGTGCATCATCCGCGGCTACTCCGGAGTATTCATCCCGCAGAAACCAAGTAGCCGTGTCGTGCCATGTCGACTTGAATAATGACAGCAATGACAGCATGGCTGGACTCCCATAGACCATACAGGATTCGGAATAGACATGTGTGTTGACCAATCCGATGAAAGCTATCCAGTATATTCGGATCCAACTGGACAGCGGCAGTACAGCCTCATCTTTGATTGGTAGGGTACGCCGAACTTGGTACCTTGAAGGGTCTAGAGGCGACTTTGATAGTTCACTCCATCCGTGCGCATCGCCGGGCAGTATTGAAATGGGTGTGCTGACTGGCACTTCAGGACTGTCATCAGCCTCTCCCAGTCTCAGAAACATCAACCGGAATACAGAATTCTCAACTCAAATCCAGTAGAATAACCCATTCATGGTACCGTAAGTGCCACTCGAAGTAGATATGTTGGTAGCGAGTCAGCAAAGAGGAAGTCAGCCTGAAGGATCAGGTATTACCGAACTTTACCGCCCGCCACCCGTCTGGCCGAAACCGAGTCCCTGATTGGTGCGTCGGTCTGCGCTGGCCGATCCTCGGGCTTTCAATCTTCTATCTCCGTCAACCAGGTTTGGCAACGATAACTGATCTATTAACAGTTAGACTTCCTTCTTCTTCTTCTTCTCTCTCCGCTCTCCTCCCCCCCCCCCACTCTCCCCAGCTTGTCCCAGCTGGTATGCCCTCCTCTTGTCATCCCCCATTATGGCGAGCTCAGTAAAAATGGAGGTTTCGCATTCGCAGGAGCAGGCGCAGTCTCCGCGTCCTGCCCCCGTGCAGAAACTCCATTATCCTTTCTGGTTTGGAGGGTCCGCCTCGTCCTTTGCGGCGTCCGTGACACATCCGTTGGATTTGGGTGAGTTTTGTTGCTTTCGTGCATTTTGAATCGCTTGGGTTTGGCTAACTTTGATCATATAGTCAAGGTAATTGATTCGCTGTCGCCATTTCTATCGTACACGAATACTGACGAAGGAAAAGGTTCGCTTGCAAACCCGTGGACCTGGTGCTCCGACGAGCATGCTGGGCATGTTTGGCCATGTGGTGAAAAATGATGGTCTTTTGGGATTATACAGTGGGGTACGTTCATCTGGTCCTCAATGAGTGTGGAGGAAGAAAGGGAAGCAGGAAAACAGATCATGGCTGACGGTTTCTAAAATGCAGTTGTCGGCCTCCCTCCTGCGACAATTGACCTACTCGACCACGCGGTTCGGTATCTATGAGGAGCTCAAATCCCGCTTCACCTCGCCCGAACAGCCCGTGGGCTTCCTTACCCTGGTCGGTATGGCCTCCGCGTCCGGCTTCATCGGCGGCATCGCAGGTAACCCGGCCGACGTGATCAACGTGCGCATGCAACACGATGCGGCGCTGCCCCTGGAACAACGCCGCAACTACCGTCACGCCATCCACGGTATCATGCAGATGACCCGCACCGAGGGCCCCGCGAGCCTGTTCCGCGGGGTGTGGCCCAATTCGACGCGCGCCGTCCTGATGACGGCCTCGCAGCTGGCCTCGTACGATGTCTTCAAGCGGATGTGCATCAACAAGGCCGGCATGTCCGACAACCTGTCAACGCATTTCACGGCGTCGTTCCTGGCTGGGTTCGTCGCAACGACCGTCTGCAGTCCTGTAGACGTCATCAAGACCCGCGTGATGAGCGCCTCCCCGGCCGAGAGCCGCGGCCACAACACCTTGGGCCTGCTGCGCGAGATCTCCCGCAAGGAAGGCCTCGCCTGGGCGTTCCGTGGCTGGGTGCCTAGCTTCATCCGTCTCGGCCCGCACACCATTGCGACCTTCATCTTCTTGGAAGAACACAAGAAGCTGTATCGCATGCTGAAGGGGGTCTAAAACAGGACTCGCATTTATAAACCTTAGAGGTCGAGGATCTCCACCCATCACTTATGGTTGATTTCCCCGACCCTTGATGATGCCTTACGTACATGCTTTGTTTCATTTACATATTGCCATTTAGAGGAAGCATGTTTGGAGGATAAAGTCGATTTCCCCCGTTTTTATATTTTTGTATATATGCTGTCCTGTCTGTGTCTGTTGGCGAGCCGTTGTCGGCCTTTCATCCTTGAGTCCGTTTCCTTTTCTCACTTCTTGATATTGCTTCTGTCCTGGAGAGCGGACAACCACCCCCTGAAGCTCGGGTCCAACCGCACCGAGATACCTATATACCCTTTGTCAGACGGCCCCTTGGTGTGCTGTGCATTATATAGACCTGTTCATCTAGATCAGCATAGACTATCTACATTAGAGCGCATCTTAATGGATTTGGGTTCCTTATATCTTATTAATCTATTTGTATGTTGAATATAGTACACTCATGCCATCTATTTTATTTCAGTTCTTTCTGTTTCTTTGCTTTGCCTTTTTATTTTTGTTTTTATTTTTGTTTATTCTGATATAGTATTCTGGACTATTTTCCTAGTTCGATATACGTCCGTCCCACTTATCTGGTTCCTGTGGAGTTGGATCTTTTTTCTCTCCGAATATCGGACGGTTGGGATTGCTGATTGATCGATTGATTGATAGGTATCAATCTGATACCTACCTAGGTACCTTACTTGCTGGGAGCGGGTATGTTTTCCCTTGGGGAAGCTTGTGAGGGTCTTTTGGCTCAATTCTGGGGATGAATAAAATTTATTCCATTCATTTTATGTTTTTTGAACGGACGCTCGAAGAAGCATGGGGTGATTGGAGCTTTACAGGTTCGATAATACCCAGCTGTGGGTTCATGACAGGCTAGATGATGAGATTTATTATTACTTGTTTTTTTTTTTCTTGTATCTTCCAACCACATAATTGCACATTGGCTTGAGCTAACGCGAGACTATATACACCCGGCGCCCGGAGTCACCCCAGGCCCGGATCTATTCCCGCTTCGACCACATAGAGTACATGTTGAGAGGAAAAGAACTTAACAGCAATCAACAATCGCGATCAACGATGGGAATGCACTAGTCCAGACGAGCGGGGAAGTTGCCGGCCTCTGTATCATGTGTTAGCTTGGGGAATGGGGTCAATGGGGACAAGGAAGACGTACCGCGCTGGCCGTCCCAGCGGTCAGTCCAGGCCTTGGGGCAGAGTGCTCGGAAGGCGTGGAAGAACTGCAGTAGATGTTAGACACGAGATGCATGTTGTATGGTTGGATAGCCACCGGCCGACTCAATGAGGGCCATTCGACGGTGACGTATGGAGGGAAATACCTGAGTGCAGGGACGGAAATCCTCGCCCTTGGCGTTGACACACTTGTAGTAGTCGACGTAGTTCTGCCAGCAGTGCTTGGTCCTGGAGAGGTGTGTGTTAGTCTCGACTGGGTGTGTTTTGATAGCATTGGAATGGGGCGCATACTGGTTCTGCTGGGGGAAGCGAGCGTCGTAGCCTGCATTGTATCGAATGTTGTCAGCACTGCCACCTGGGGTCACCGGCGACGGGCGTGGAATCCCCGTCGCGAAGTTACTGCAAGCGATCCGGAGGATTGATTCAACATACCGGCTGTGAAATTGTTAGCAATTGGCCTCAATTGGAAGATTGATATCACGCAATGGGGGTTGGATTGAGCTCACCTGTCACGAACTTGAAGGGCTTGGTCTCCTGGGGCTCCTCGGGATCGGCGTCAGGAATGGCACCCATTTTGGCTGTGAGAAGAAACTTGAAGGGTTTCCGGGGTATAAAGTGGGAGAGGAGGGGTGGTGGAGAGAGGGGGGGGGAGGGGAACAGAGGGAGAGCTGGGCAAGAGGGAGAGAGAATGAGGTTGTAGTAAGTTAGTTGAAGCCGGAAGAGACCGCGGGCGGTGTGGACTAGCGAGCCAGTCATGCAATCAGGATTTCCCAAACACACCCGAAGCCGTCCTGGCATGACTACTCCTAACACTGTCTGGGTTTAGCGTCACCACTGCCAACCTCCAAACCTTCCCCTTCGTCCCGTCCTGAAGCTTCCGTCACCACCACTTCGTTTCATCTCCCACTTATCTCTGTCCCTCAGATAGTTACCCCCGCCTTCACCATGTTTGGCACTCGTATCTTGAGGATGCAGCCCACTCGGGCTTATGCATTCCCCACTCCTGTAAGTTTTGTCACGCCCGGTCCTGGAGATTCAAATGAACCTCGGGACGAAAATTGCTAACCCTCGTCGCAGAAGGAGAACCAGAGCGGTATGGTCCACCCCGGAAAGGTCACTCTTGCGCCGTGATCAATTCAAGAGAGTGTCTCGGGCGGTTTGGGATGAGAAACTAATGACCTTGTAGCGCACACCATCTCTCAGCGTCTGCGCACGCTCAAGCGGGTCCCTCCCGAGTTGATCCCTCTCGGTATGTTATTTAGATGCTCTGACGTCTATCCCGACCATTGAGTGGCATGGAGTGGCATTGTCTAACCGTTCTTTGAATTATAGGTCTCGTCCTTGGGTATGTTTTCTCATAGTTATACTGTCTTATATGACATAGGTTCCTCCCCCCCACTTCGACTGCCAACTGACCCATCCATCAGCGTCGCCGTCGGTGCTGCCATCTACGCCAGCTCCCACAAGCTCCTGACCGACAAGACCCTCCGTCTGTCCCGTAACAAGCCCGAGGACCGCGAGCACTAAAAAAGTTTGTACCATGACGTCTTCCTGACTCCAACTTTGCCGGGCGATCATTTGGGGTGATTCTTGTGTTTTTGGTATTGGCGATCTGTATGATTCAACGGGGTACGCGTGGTCGAAGGAGAACACAGGGGAAATTGGTCAAAAGTGCGTGTACATAGTACGGCTTTGACGGGAGGATTCTGATCGTGTAATATTGCAATATTACTGTCGCCTGGTCTTCTCGCTCTTTGGGGTATCATTCTGTTGCTTCTGCTTATTCCGGCTTGGGTCCTGCCACATCCAGCTCCTCCAGTCCCTGCATGGGATCCTGGGGCCGGTCGCCATCCGTCGTAGACAGGGCGTGCTCGTCCGCCAGTTTGTCCTCCTCGCTCACAGCATACTTGGCCAAGTAGCCCTCCTAGAACAGTTGTAGTCAGCGTTCAATCCACATGCGACGAACCCATCCCGAACTAGATCACGCACCTGCTGCCAGATCGCGGTCTTGCTTCCCAGCCCCTCGTTGCTGTCCTTCTGGGGCTTCGCCGGCGCGACCTTGATTGTCCGTCCGTAAAGCTCGCTCCCATCCATGTTATCGATCGCCTCGTTCGCATCATCCGGCATGTCGAATTCCACATATCCAAAGCCCCGGTGCAGGTCGGACGAGTTCGGAACGTCGGGCTTGGGGAGCGTGATGTCGACGACTTCGCCAAAGGGGACGAATGCCTCGGCCAGCGTCTGTACCGTGACCGCCTGGTCGAGACCCCCCACATAGACGGTGCACTTCAAACGGGCCTTTTCGCTCATGGTGATAGGTGTTCGGGGGGTTGGTGGAGCGGAGAGCTTGAGTGGAACTAGATAATATCGGAGATCCCCATTAAAAACGACTCTCGATCGCTTTCTTCCTGTCCTGGGCTTGTTCTCGCGGTCGACTTTCTCTTCTACCCGAGTCGGCCAAACCAGACGGCGGATCGACCGCCTGATATCACGTGCGGCCCGCGTTTTTGGCGAGCGCCCGATTGGGTTTAGCGGGCCAGGCTCACCCGCCCCGGGGAGCGCCAGGAGGACACTTGGTTGTTCTCGAGAGAGTGTTTGTTGATGATCTCAATGCTGGATTACTGAGTCCGCATCCCTCCCCTTGAACCACTCTCCTCTTACCCTCTCGCTTTACTCCATTGCAACGGGGGGCTCCTTTCTCTCTCGTGTTTCTCTCTGATCCCTTTTATTGCTGTGAATCCCTTCGAGGAGCTCTTATCTTCATCCTCCCCTGATCTATACCGTCTCCGCCCCCCACCTCCTTCAGCATGGTGCGTCTGAGGGAGATCCCCCGGACGGCCACCTTTGCTTGGTCCCCCGGCGCTGCTGCTCCATTGGTGGCTACTGGTACCCGTGCTGGTGCGGTCGATGTCAACTTCTCCAATGAGACGTGTCTAGAGCTCTGGGACTTGGCTCTGGACCGCAGCGATGCCGGCGGGGAGCTGCAACCCGCCGCCAAGATTGATACCGACTCGGGGTAAGGATCCATCAGCAACCTGGTGTATGAGGGAGCGTGCAGATGGCTGATAATTCCTCTGCGATAGTTTCAACGATTTGGCCTGGACGGAATCCGACGAGAACTCGCGCGGTGTGATTGCCGGAGCTTTGGAGAATGGATCGTTGGATCTGTGGGACGCGGACAAATTGCTCAACGGCTCGAGGTTCGTGTCACGACGATAAACAACCTGTTGGACTGGGCGCTTGACTGACTGCTCTGACAGCGACGCCGTCATTTCCCGAAACTCCAACCACTCCGGTGCCATCAAGGCCCTCCAATTCAACCCCAAACACTCGAATTTGCTGGCGACGGGTGGCGCACAGGGAGAGGTATTTCGCATACATCGTTGGATTTAGTCACGCTCGTGGAACTCACATCGGATTAGCTCTACATCTCCGACCTCAACAACATCGCGAACCCGTACCGACTTGGGGGCACCGCGGCCCGCGCAGATGACATCGAGTGTCTGGATTGGAACAAGAAGGTCCCGCATATCCTGGTGTCCGGTAGCAGTGCGGGCTTCGTGACGGTATGGGACGTCAAGACGCGGAAGGAGAGCCTGACGCTCAACAACATGGGCCGCAAAGCCGTCAGCTCTGTCGCTTGGGACCCGGAGAAGGTAGGATGACGACTGTCTGAAATTCCTGGAGACAAAGGTCTAATGCAGTACAGCCCACGAAACTGGTCACCGCGACTCCTCTGGAGTCCGACCCCCTGATTTGCGTTTGGGATCTGCGCAATTCTCACGCTCCGGAACGGGTAAGTCTACACCTGCTGCATTGGAAAGAAACGTAAATTACAGCTCGGAGACTGACTGGTGTTTGGTAGACCCTCCGTGGCCATGAGTCCGGTGTGCTGTCCCTCTCCTGGTGTCCTCAGGACCCCGATCTGCTGCTGTCGTGCGGCAAAGACAATCGCACCATGTGCTGGAACCCGCAAAACGGCCACCTCTACGGTGAATTCCCGGTCGTCACGAACTGGACCTTCCAGACCCGCTGGAATCCTCACAACCCCAACTTCTTCGCGACTGCTTCGTTCGACGGCAAGATCTCTATCCAGACGATCCAGAACACTTCTACGGAAACCGCCCAAGCCATCGCCGATCAGAACCAGTCTCTGGATGGAGAGGACTTCTTCGCCAAAGCGCAGACTCAGCCTCAGGTGTCGAGCTTCTCTCTGCCCAAGCCGCCCAAGTGGCTCGAGAGACCCTGCAGTGCGTCGTTCGGATTCGGCGGTCGCGTCGTGTCCGTTGGCCTGGCCGAGAAGGGCAAACGGGCCTCCAAGATCAAGATCTCGCCCTTTGAAGTCGATGAGGCGGTTGGCAAGTCGACGGAGACGTTTGAGAGCGCACTGAGGGAGGGTGACCTGCGCAGCATTTGCGAGACCAGAGCTGCCGATGCCAAGAGTGATGAAGAGAAGGCGGACTGGAAGGTCATCGAGGCCCTGATCTCTCAGAACCCTCGCAAGGGCATCGTGGAATATCTTGGATTCCAGGACCAGGCGGACGAAGCCGCCGACGGGCTGGCTAAGCTCGGCTTGGACAAGGAGAATGCTGGTGGCGAATCGCCCAAGGAGTCCCGCGGGTCGGGAGCCAAGAAGCACAAGCGTCTGCAATCCATGTTCGATGGCGGTCCGGAAGAAGACAGCTTCTTGACGGATCTGGCTGCGTCCAAGGGAGCCAAGACCAACAACCCGTTCCAGATCTTCAGCGGCTCCGAGTCCGAGGCTGAGAAGGGCATCACTAAGGCGCTGCTGCTCGGTGATTTTGAGAAGGCTCTGGATGTCGCCCTCAAGGAAGACCGCCTGTCGGACGCCTTCATGATCGCCATCTGCGGCGGTCAGAAGTGCGTCGAGAAGGCGCAAGAGCACTACTTCTCCAAGCAGACCAACAGCCCCAATTACGTGCGTCTGCTGGCGTCCATCGTTGGTAAGAACCTCTGGGACGTTGTGCACAATGCCGACCTGGACAACTGGAAGGAAGTCATGGCCGCGCTCTGCACCTTTGCCGACGAGAAGGAGTTTGCGGATCTCTGCGAAGCCCTGGGCGATCGTCTTGAGGAGCAGCTCAAGAACGAGAGTGACAAGGGAGCCCGCAAGGATGCCTCTTTCTGTTTCCTGGCTGGCTCGAAGCTGGAGAAGGTGGTGTCTATTTGGATCGAAGAGCTGCGCGAGAGCGAGCAGAAGGCCATTGAAACGGCCACCGACGACTCCAGCTTCTCCATCCACGTCCGTGCCCTGCAAGGCCTGATCGAGAAGGTGACCATCTTCCGTCAAGTCACCAAGTTCCAGGATACGGAACGCGCCAAGGAGTCCGACTGGAAGCTCAGCAACCTGTACGACAAGTACATCGAGTACGCCGACGTCGTTGCTACGCACGGCCGCCTTCAAGTCGCCCAGAACTACCTCGACCTCGTTCCCGAGAAGCATCCCGAGGCCGAAATTGCCCGCAACCGCATCAAGCTGGCGATGAGGCAGGTCACCCCTCAGCGCACGCAGCAAGCAGCCCCCGCGGCCCGTACGATGACGCCGGCCCGGACCATGACGCCCATCAGCAGGCAGGCTGGTGCCTATCAACCCCAGGGTACTTTCGCCCCTGTCTCAACTGCTCCGAACCCTTACGCCCCGGCTGCTCCTGCTGCCGCGCCGGCTGCAAACCCGTATGCTCCGGCTGCTATGGGTGCTACTGCCCCCAGTCCCTACGCGCCCGCAGCGGCTGCCACTCCGGCGGCAAACCCCTATGCGCCGTCTGGTGCCGGGTATGCACCCGCGGGATATCAAGCTCCCCGGGCACCGGCCTATGGTGCTCAGCCATTAGGTGGCGCGGTTCCTCCTCCTCCCCGCGCTTCCAACCAGTCCCCTGCGACGGTCAGCTCCTACACCAACGCCACGAATCTCCCAGCCTGGAACGACCTGCCCGACGACTTCGGCAAGAAGGCCCCCACGCCTCGCCGCGGAACCCCCGCCGGCGCCGCAGCACCGATCAGCTCGCCCTTCCCCCACCAGCCTTCCCCCGTCGGTCAGGGCGTTCCTCCGCCACCCACTGGTCCTGCTCAACGTGCTCCCTCGGTGCCCCCACCACCGAAAGCGGGCACTATGCCCCCGCCGCGGATGACCTCTCCGCCCGTGGCCCCGCCCCCGATGGCGTCCATGTCGCAGGGTCCCCCGCCGCCGGCGAACCCGTACGCAGCCCTGCCTCAGTCTCCATCGATGGGCCCACCCACCAACATGAATGTCCCCACGGCATCGATGCCGCGCGGACCGTCTCCGTACAACGCGCCGCCTTCCATGCCGCCGCCAACGAACCGCTACGCACCGAGCCCAGCTGCACAAGCCACCCCCAGCCCACAGCTCCAGATGCGGGGCCCCGTACCTCCCCCGCCCCAGGCCGCTGCTTCGCCGTACGCCCCGCTGCCCCCGCAGCCCGTGGCGGCGAACCCTTACGCGCCTAGCACGCCTCCCAACGTGCCACCAATGCAGCACCCGCCGCCTCTTGCGGCCGCCTCGATCTCGCGCCCCGGCACAGCCAACTCCCAGAAGCCAGCCGCTCCCCCCAAATACCGTAAGTGATTTCCCCAACCCCTCATTCAAGAAACAAGAACCCACTAACTCACTCCTTCCTTAGCACCGGGTGACCGCTCCCACATCCCCTCCGACGCCATGCCCGTCTACGAGATCCTCACCGCAGACATGCAGCGCGTCAAGTCCCGCGCGCCATCCTCCTTCAAGGCACAAGTCGACGACGCCGAACGCCGCCTGAACATCCTCTTCGACCACCTCAACAACGAGGACCTGCTCAAGCCTAACACCATCGCTGACATGACGCACCTGGCGCAGGCTATCCAGGCCCGTGACTATGAGGCTGCTAAGACTATCCACGTCGATATCATGACGAACCGCACGGATGAGTGCGGTGCTTGGATGGTTGGTGTCAAACGGCTGATTATGATGAGCAAGGCTACGCCTTGATTGGCTTCGTTAGGGATGATAAGGTAGTGAGTGGGTGGATTTCATGGGTTGTATGTCGCCTTGTACAAGAAAGGATGGATGATACAGGAAGAAAAACGAGGAAAACACAAGAAAAAGAAAGTTCGTGATGAATTTATCTTTTACTGTAAGTACAAGTACAAGAAAAGAAAAGAAAGGAAACAGTGGGAGGAAAAAGACAAGCAGGGTCGGTGATTCTATTATCGATGGTGGTGGTGGTTGATTTGGCTTTTTAGAACCTGCCCTGTTCTTTGTCTCAGCTGCCTGATCCTATATCTTTTTCTGACTC